AAAAAGTAGGGGAAATTGAGGCCCAAACAGATGACCTTAATGTAGGTGGGAGGGCAAATTGATACAACTTCTTTGGAAACCAATGGGAATTACCTAGTAAAATTGAAGAGTCACAACCTGCAGCTCCACTCTTAGGGATGTACCCCAGAGCATCTCACATACGCATGTGCCTGGAGACAAATGTGCAATTATCCAAAAACTGGATGGAGCCCAGATGTCCTTCAACAGTTGAATAGACGGGTTGTGGTATACTGACAAAATGAAAAAGGTGACCGACGTAGAAAAATGAATGACTTGTAGCTACACACAAACATAAATTAGCCAAAACCCGTTTGGCTCAATGGATAGAGCGTCGGCCTGCAGTCTAAAATGTCCCAGGTTCGATTCCGGTTAAGGGCATGTACCTTGGTTGCGGGCACATCCCCAGTAGGGGGTGTGCAAGAGGCAGCTGATCAATGACTCTCTCTCATCGATGTTTCTAACTCTCTATCTCTCTCCCTTCCTCTCTGTACAAAATCAATAAAATATATTTTTTAAAAAAGAATTTGAGAAGCCTACTTAAAAAAAAACAACATACATTAATCTCAAAAACATGATGTTGACTAAAAGAAAGTAGACCATAAAGAACGAATATAGCACGATTCCATTTACATAATTAAAACAAGCAAACCTAAATTGTTGTGTTTTTTTTTAAACTACAAGGAAAGCAAGGACGTGATTATCACAAAGCACTGGACAGCGGCTCGTTCATTATACGTACTGACAGTTCCTGCAATGTGCCAGGTATATTCTGGGCACTGGAGCAACAATGGTGAATGAAATAAGCAAACGTGCTCACCCTTGAATAGCTTACATTTTATCATGGGAAACAGTAATATACAATCCAAAAATAAGGAAAGACGTTATTGTTATTTGGTATATTAGAGAGTGGTGTTACGGGAAAAAGAAAACAAGAGAGCAGGGCATCAGGAATTCCCAGATCAAGGTGGAGGGCAAGTGAGTTGCAATATTAAAGAGAGTGGTTGGCGGGGTCAGCCTCGTTGCAAAGGAGAGATTTGAGCAATTCAAGAAGGAAGGGAGAGAGTCAGTTAGAGGCGGGGAGGGAGCATTCCAGGCCCATTACGGGCCCTTTTGGGCTCAGAGAACACCCAGGGCAAAGGCCCTAGGAAAGGAGCCTGCTGTTTTTCTCTTCAAGGAACTCAAGGAGGCCCGGTGGATGATGGAGAGAACAGCTCTCATTCTGAGTGAAACGGACCGCTGCAGGGTTCTGAACAGATCTGACTGGCATTTCAAAAGGAATATTCTGACTGCTCTGTTGGGGAGGAAGGGGTGAGGGTGGAACGAAGAGACATGGAAGGATATCGTAGTAGTTCACGGGAGAGATGATGGGGGCTCAGACCAGGGTGGTAATCCAGAGGGTGGTGGTTATCTGGGGAGGCGGCGGTGCAGGGGAGGGGTTGTGACTTGGGAGGGGCAAGGGAGAGGGAGTGAGAGATAGAAACATCAATGATAAGAGAGAATCGTTGATTAGCTGCCTCCTGCATGCCCCCCCCCTCCCCTCTGGGGATTGAGCCCACAACCCTGGTATGTGCCCTGACCGGGAATCAAACCGTGACCTCCATGGTTCATAGGTCGACACTCAACCACGGAACCTCACAGACCAGACTAGAATAAATCTTGAAAACAGAGAGTGTAAGCTCTCTTGGTCCTTTTTCAAAATTGCTTTGGCTATTCTAGGTCCTTTGCATTTCCACATAAATTTTAGAATCAGCTTGTCAATTACTAAAAAAAAAATCTGCTGGGATTTTGATTGGGATTGCGTTGAATCTATAGATTTCTCCTTTGCAGGAGTTTTTCTCCAAATAGCTGCTGATGATTTCAGCAGTGTGTTTATCTCATACATGTGCCCATCTTAACAATCTAGAAGAGGAGGAGTTTTTTTGTTTGTTTGTTTGTTGTAATAAAGTGGAAGGGTGGGGTAGAGACAGAGAGAGAAACTTCTATGTGAGAAAGACACATCCTCGCTGAAACCAGTTTGGCTCAGTGGAACAGCGTCAGTCTATGGACTGAAGGGTCCCGGGTTCGATTCTGGTCAAGGGCATGTGCATTGGTTGCGGACACATCCCCAGTTGGGGGTGTGTAGGAGGCAGCTGGTCGATGATTCTCTCTCATTGATGTTTCTAATTGTCTATCCCTCTCCCTTCCTCTCTGTAAAAAATCAATAAAATATTAAAAGAGAGAGAGAGAGAGAGAGAGAGAGAGAGAGAGAGAGAGAGGGAAAGACACATCCATTGTTGGTTGCCTCCCACAGGAGCCTGACTAGGGCCAAGGGTTGGATTGAGCCTGCAGCCCAGAAACACGCCCTTGACTAGAATTGAACCCAGGACCCTTCAGTCCACAGGCCAACACTCTATCCACTGAGCCAAACTGGCTAGGGCAAATAGGATGGTTTCACTCCAGTACATGGGGTTGCTGCTCCTTACACACCTGGTGAACTTAAGTCTGGGCTTTTCTCATCTCCTTCTCTACCTAGGTGTCCCTGGCCATCTTTCTCACCCTCAACTCAGTTATGCTGGCATTTTCATCTAAATCCCCTATGAAGCTGTCTCTGATCCATACCAAACCCTAAATGAATCATTCACTCACTTGGGCTTCCCACCACTCTGTCCTCATCTCTCTCACAGGCGCACAGAACTTTGAATAATTTAATATCACATTGGGAAGTCATTATTGTCTATGCATCTCTCTCCCTAATTAGACAGAACTCTTCCAGGGGAGCAACCAAGTTATTTTTTATTATCTTGCTGTTAAAGTCATTCTTCTTTGAATTGAACCTTTTATTTTGAGATAATTGTAAATTCATATGCAGTTGTAAGAAATAATGCAAAGAGATCCCATCCACCCTTTACCTGGTTTCCCCAAAGTTAACACCTTGAAAAACGTTAGCACAATAACAAACAGAAAGTTGACACTGACCCAACCCACTGAGCTCATTCAGATTTCCCAAGTTGGACACATTCTCATTGTGTGTAGTTAAGAATTTTTTTTTTTTTACTAGTTGCACTTTAACAATTATTTATTTAGGGTCTACTATGTGCCAGACAGTTGCATTCTGGAAATACAAGATTAACACAAGATCCCTGCCTTTGTACAATCTGTAGTTAGCACCTCAGAACTGGAGTCTGAGTGCCTGGGTTGTTGACTCCTTCCTCTGACACTTGCCAGTTCAATTATCTTGACATGTTATCAACTTCCTTATCAGCCCCAGCTGGTTTGGCTCAGTGGATAGGGCGTTGGCCTGTGGACTGAAAGGTCCCCAGGTTCCATTCCAGGCAAGTTGTGGGCTCCACCCCCAGGAGGGGGTGTGCAGGAGGCAGCTGATCAATGGTTCTTTCTTATCATTGATGTTTCTATCTCTCTCTCCCTCTCCCTTCCAAACTTCTTTATGTTTCCTTATCTCAAATAACAGTACCTCCCCCATAGGCTTATACTGTGCTTAGCAGGATGTCCAGTGTCCCAAAACAACGCTCAATCCCCTTAGGGTGGGAGGAGCAATTTATACTAAGGTTATGGATGAAATGATTCTTTACTGACCACCTTCCACTGTATGCCAGAGACTTCACTTCTGCAAGCAGCCTTAGGATGGATGATGGGTCACAATCTCCTTGGCATTGGGAGTTGATCTTTCAAAATAATGTAGTCAAGACAAGGGTGTTTGTTGGAACCTACTGTGTTTCCCCGAAAATAAGACATCCTCCAAAAATAAGACCTAGCGCATGGAAAAATAAGAAATCCCCTGAAAATAAGACCTAGCGCATCTTTGGGAGCAAAAATTAATATAAGACACTGTCTTATTTTCGGGAAAACAGAGTAGTCCACTTTTTTTTCGGGGGGGGGGGGAGTGGCGGGGAAGAGGAGGGAGAATCTCAGGAAAGGCACTGATCAATGACTGCCAGTAGCAGGGGTTCAATAAATGGGTTCAATTGGCTAAAACTGTTCTGGCTCAGTGGATAGAGCATCAGCCTGCGAACTGAAAGGTCCCAGGTTCTATTCCGGTCAGGGGCATGTACCTTGGTTGTGGGCACATCCCCAGTAGGGGTTGTGCAGGAGGCAGCTGATGGATGTTTCTCTCCCATTGCTGTTTCTAGCTCTATCTCTCTCTCTTCCTCTCTGTAAAAAGTCAATAAAACAGCCAAAACCGGTTTGGCTCAGTGGATAGAGCGTCGGCCTGTGGACTGAAAGGTCCCAGGTTTGATTCTGGTCAAGGGCATGTACCTTGGTTGCAGGCACATCCCCAGTTAGGGGGTGTGCAGGAGGCAGCTGATCCATGTTTCTAGCTCTCTATCTCTCTCCCTTCCTCTCTGTAAAAAATTCAATAAAATATCTATTTTTAAAAAGTCAATAAAGTATATTTTAAAAATATATAAAAAATAAATGTGTTCAATTGAAGGTTGAACCCAACGTTATTTCCCACGCTGACTCGTGCAGACCCTCACCTCTGGAGGGTTTTCCGTCTCCGTTCACTGGGCAGCAGGAAAGGGAGGGTGCAGAGCCGCACTCAGAGGATGAAGACGGTGTCCAAGGACCACCCGGCTCCACGCTCTTCCCCGGCAGCTACGCCGGTGCACACAGCCTGGCCGCGAGGGCCCATCCGCATTTAGAATCTGGCCGCGATCCGCTCCCTGGCTTTCTGGCTGCAAATCCTGGACACGATCCAGCCGCGGAGAACCGGCGGAGCGAGCCCAGCGATCACGCGAGCCGGGCCGCCCTGCACGCCCCGGACACGCGGCGGCCGCCCCTCCGCCAGGCGCGCAGCTGCCCGGCGGCGCCCTCCCGGGCGGTCCCCGGCCTGAGCCCCAGGAGCAGGGGGAGGGACCGGAAATAGTCTCTGTCCCCCGGTTGCTAAGAGACGGGGTTTCCCCGCAACCCAAACAGAGGTTCTACGCCTTCTTTTCTCCCTTTCTCCGCTCCAGCTTTTCCGAATTCCGAATCCCGCCATCATGTCGGACCAAGAAATTGACATCCTGCGGAGCACCTTCCCCTCCTACATGGCCGAGGGCGAGCGGCTCTACCTCTGCGGGGAGTTCTCCAAAGCTGCCACCAGCTTCAGCAACGTGAGTGGCGCTCCGGCCCTCTCCACGGCCCATCGCCGCTCTGGATGCCTGATGAGCCTGGATAGCTCTATCGTTTCTAGTCACTGGCTCCTGATGGATGCACCCCAGGGACAGATAAGCCCCTGCTAGGCCATTTTCTACCAGTTTCCACCTGCATTCTACCTGATCCTTAATAACTATTCTGACCTCTTCTACTTTCTTTCAAAATAATATTTTTATTGACTTCAGAGAGGAAGAGGGGATTGAGAGAGAGAGAGAGAGAGGTCAATGATGAGAGAGAACCATTGATTGGCTGCCTCCAGCACATGCCCTATTAGGAATCGAGCCCATAACCCCAGTCATGTACCCTGACCAGGAATCAAACCGTGACCTTCTGATCACATAGGTCGATGCTCAACCACTGAGCCATGCCAGTCAGGCTTCTACTTTTTTTAGAAATCAAATGTTTCGCCATTGATTGGCCTCCTTCTACAGAGCAGGCCCAAGTCCCCCTCACTGGCGGGGCGATGGGCTGGGAGTCTTCTTGCCGAAGTGAAGTCTCAGGTGCTTGTGGAAGGTGGTCAGTAAATAACTAACAGGGTCCTACATAACCTTAGTATGAATTGCTCCACCCACCCTCAGAGGATTGGTGCTGTCTTAGGACACCAGGCACCCTGCTAAGTGCATTCTAAGCCTGTGGGGATGTACTGTTATTATACAATTTTAAAGATAAGGAAACTGATAAAGAAGTTGGGTAACACATTCATGATTACTGAACTAGCAAGTGTCAGAGGAAGGCTCCAACCCCAGGCACCCAGGCTCCAGCTCTGAGGTGCTGTCCACCAGAGGATACTGCCTCTCAAGTAAGCCATTAGGTGTTTTATGACAATTTACTTTACAACATACAGCCTCTTCTTATTCCAAATGGAGGGGCAGAATAGCTGTCCTTAACCAGTCCCGAAACTCCCCCTAAAGTCAAGCTTCTCAACCGCTGCCCAGAATCTTTCATCCCTCCCATCACTGAAGACTGGACATGATTGACCAGTTGGGCCGACAGTTGATTTCAGGGGCCCTGCCTCCATCCCTTCTCCTTTTGGTCCTGTCTAATCCTGGGGAAGCTCAGGCAGAGAGAAATGAATACCCCGAAGGAAGATAGCTTTGATTGAGAAGTGGCTTCCCCCCACCCCCGCCCCCTTAAGAAATAAAGTAGCTACTTCCTCTTCCTGGAAAAGTGGGAAAGTCTAAAAAAAAAAAAAAAAAAAAAAGTGGGAAAGTCTTAGAAAGGTATGGATATACACTGAGTGGCCAGATTATTATGATCTCTGAACGCATAATAATCTGGCCACTCAGTGTATATCCTATATAATAAAAGGCTAATATGCAAATTGTCCCCTCGACCAGGAGTTCGACCAGCAGGCAGGCCAGCCAACCGCCCATGTCTTCTCCCCCTGGCCAGGCTGGCTGGACCCCACCCATGCATGAATTCATGCACCGGGCCTCTAATACACACACACACACACACACACACACACACACACTGAGTGGCCAGATCATTATGCATTCAGAGATCATAATAACCTGGCCACTCAATTTAGTCTGATACCCCAGGAATGACAATATACTACAGACTATGGTAATGAGCTCAAACAGAAGAAATGAGGACATAGGGAGTAGGGGAAGAGTTCTGCTCCCACTTTAGGGCCAAAATCATAGTTTCAGTTTTGCTGGCATTTTTTTTTTAAATCAATCTTTATTGTTCATATTATTACAAAGGTTCCTCTTTGCTGGCATTTTCATCTTAATCACCCGAAATAGAGATTCATTCACAACAAGCTATACAAAAAGAAAGAGGACTGGTGGGAAGGATAACTCGATTTGCAGATTGTCCTAAAATCCATTTCGTTAGCCTGCAGAGTGCTTAGCCTCTGGAATGTATTTTGAGCCTGTTTGTGCAGCCATTGCAGATTTGTGGTTGAATCTGGTATGCACCAAACATCCTAAGATTGCATTGTCTGAGTGAACTGGAGGCATCCCAGACACACAGGGAAACTCTATATATCCACAGAGGAGTATATTCTTACACCTCAACCCGTGGCTTCCCCAATGGCTTGTGATTCGACTTTGTTTTAAGATGAGCCGCTTGCAGATAATGGCGTTGACTAAGCAAATATTGATAATAGGCTGCTTTTTGTCTGGTAAGATCCAAAGACCTGTTTGGTACCCCAAGGAGTCCCCTTGGAACTCCGGTAAGAAGGTTTGGGCTGCCATTGCCAATCCGGCTTCTACCTTGCCCTGCCTGGTACCTGCCGACCTGTGTGGTTCCTTTCTCAGGCTCTTCACCTTCAGAATGGAGACAAGAACTGCCTGGTTGCACGCTCCAAGTGCTTCCTGAAGATGGGAGAGTTAGAGAAGTCCCTGAAGGATGCTGAGGACTCACTCCAGGGTGACCCCACTTTCTGCAAGGTGACTGTCGGGGTGAAGAACTCCAACCTGCTTTTGCCACTGCCGCTGTCCGCAGCACCCGCTGGCTGGAAGTGGTAGAAGCAGCACCAGCCAGGCTGTCTAGAGTCTGATGCCATTTTCTCTTTCTGGATAGGCCACTTGCCTAGCTCCCTGCCTTGGTATCCCAACCTTGACCCCAACCCAAGCCCCCTCTGTTCCACCACATCCGAATTCTGTAATGCCTTGTCTGTCCACCTTGATCTGACTTCCTCTCATTTCAGGGCATTTTGCAAAAGGCAGAGACCCTGTACACCATGGGAGACTTTGAGTTTGCCTTGGTGTTCTATCATCGAGGCTATAAGCTGCGGCCTGATCGAGAGTTCAAGGTCGGAATTCAGAAAGCCCAGGAAGCCATCAACAACTCGGTGGGAAGTGAGTGGCTGTGGGACCTGTGCCCTTCTCCAGGAAGTCAGTTTGGAAGGCCTGAGGGCCTTAGGTGACCACCAGGAGGCCTTCAGGGAGTCCCAGGCTTGGATTTGGCTGCTGCTGATTTTGCTGAAGATTAGGAACTGTTCACAGGGAGGACCAATCCCCCAATCCACCACACTGAGCACTGCAGTCTGGTTATCCTCAATGCCAGATAAGAAGGGCTGTCTCCCTCCAGTCATATGAATATGCCTGTCTTTGGCCTGTTTTCCTGGGGTTGCATGGAGTCCCGAGTCTAGTCTTCCCTAGTCTTTGGCTTCTGCCCTTACCACCTGTGCACCAACAGCTGGCCTTGTGCTGGGGGAGAAGGAAGGAGAGAGAGAGTGTGCCAGTGGGATGGCTGGGTGTGGAAGTGGATGGCATGGAGAGCTCCCTTTGTCTGGAGATCTGGTTGCCATGGCCCTGGGCTAGCAGGGGCTGCCTGGCCTCCTACAAGAGCATTACACAAAACACCATGGACCGTTTGCCTGCCAGGCCAGGTCACAGCCAGCTTTGCAACAATACTCCCCATCCCCCTGCCAAAGGCAGCCATTTTCACATAAAAATATGGGATAGGCCACACTGGGGGTCTGGCCGACCTGAGCCCCAGCTTCTGTCCTTGCAGCTCCTTCTTCAATTAAACTGGAGAACAAAGGAGACCTAGCCTTCCTAAGCAAGCAGGCTGAGGTAAGGGCCCTGGTCCTGATGCTACAAACCTTCCAGGGAAGAGGCCACATGGACCTGAGGCACACAAGTCTTTGTGGCCCTGTTGCCTGGAAACTAGCTCCTACCCATCCCAGGCAGCCATGGGGGTCTGCCCCAGCTCCACCGGGGTCCTGACAGTCCAGCTACTCCTGGGGCAGAAACACTCCATGGGTTTCGGCCCACGGGGAGGTCCTGGAGAAAGAGTTTGGGGTCACAGAGTCTGGGCCTTTGGATGCTCTGTGCGCCTTGCTGAGGCTCTGTCAGGTGCCGCTCTGTCTTCCCAGAACATGAAAGCCCTGCAGAAGCCGCATCCCCTGAAACAGACCTCCTACTACCACAAGGCCGAGTCCAAGCGGAGGGGCTCGGTCAAGAGCGAGAAGACCGTCCGCCAGCTCCTAGGCGAGCTCTATGTGGACAAGGAGTACCTGGAGAAGCTCCTGCTGGACGAAGGTCTCGGGCGCTTTGTTTGCCGCAGGGAACGGGGCAGAGGGGAGCTGGAGTGGATGCATAACGCCCGAGGCAGAGGCAGACTCTGTCATATTGGCCAACTCGTTCCTATGGGCAGGCTTTCCTCTCATCTTACAGATGAGAAAACTGAGGCACAGAAAGGTTAAGTCACCTAAGGTCATGCCTAGGTAGGCAGTTACAGAGCTCTCAGATTTGGGTCCAGGAAGTTCAAGTTCAGATCCAGTGCCCTTGAGCGCTGTGGTGTCCTGGGAGGGAACTCCGAAGATTTGGGTTCCTCTACCATCGTGTCCCTGAAGGGGGTGTCCCCTTGGCCTTCTGGAAGGACAAAGGACAAAGAACTCCAGCTGGAAGGTGCTAGGAGGGGAATCTGAGGACATTGATACTAGTATGCCCCACACCTCATCTGGTACAACCCTTCCTTTTATTTATTTTTTTATTAAAAAAATGTTTTTAATTGATTTCAGAGAGGCAGGGAGAGGAAGAGAGAGATAGAAACATCAATGATGAGCCTTGACCGGTTTGGCTCAGTGGATAGAGCATTGGCCTGCAGACTGAAGGGTCCCAGGTTCGGTTCTGGTCAAGGGCATGTACTTTGGTTGTGGGCACATTCCCAGTAGGGAGTGTGCAAGAGGCAGCTGATAGATGTTTCTCTCTCATCGATGTTTCTAACTATCTCTCTCCTTTCTTCTCTGTGAAAGATCAATAAAATATATATATATATATTTTTTTTTTAAAAAAAAAGAAACATCAATGATGAGAAAGAATCATTGATCTGCTGCCTCCTGCACGCCCCCCACTGTGGATCAAGCCCACAACCCAGGCATGTGCTGGAAGTCAATCGAACCATGACTTCCTGGTTCATAGGTTGACAACCACTGAGCCATGTCGGCCGGGCCAAACCTTCCTTTTAGAAATAAGGGAAAAAAGAGACCCTGAATGGGGAGTCTTTTCAGGTTGACAAGCAAGTTAATGGCGGAGTTGAAGCCAGAGCCCAGCCTCCTAACCTGGTCCACCAGTCTTTCGAACCCGCTGGACTGGCAGTGACAGGACGTGGGACGGAGCCTTAGAATGAAAGAATGCCTCACATAAACAGCGGGACGGACGGGAGTCTTCCGTTAGCCGATGAGCCTGCGCAGGGCTCACCCTTGAATCAGAGATCTTTTCCCCAGAGCTGACTGCCCAGGCCTCTGCAGGATTCCTTGCCGGTCTGTCCCAGGGGTGGCTTCTCTGCTGGCTCATCTCCAGTGCCTCCCCCCGCAGAGGAGCTTCTGTGGAGGGAAGGGGCCTTTCAGCTCTGCTACCAGCTCTCACCTCTGCTCAGGCGGCGGGCAGGACCTGGCACACCCCTCCAGCTCCCAGTTCGCACTGGGGAATCACCGGGCACTGGCAACCTGGGCCAGGCTGTGCGTTTAGGTGGTCTCTGCGTGAAATGGGGGAGCCCAGGAGGCTGGGGGCCACCCAGCAGCAGCCCCTTCTGTTAGTTTCCTCATATACCTCCTCTAAGGTGAGCAGACGTCCCGCTTTTGGCGGGACAGTCCCGATTTTGAACAATTTGTCCCGTGTCCCGCGGCATTTAAAAAAAAAGTCCAAAAGATTTAAAAGATTCTTTCCAAAAATCAGGACTTTTTAAAAAATGCCTCGGGATGCGGGACAAATTGTTCCAAAGCGGGTCGTCTGCTCACCTTAACCTTGCCGTAAGGGGCCCAGGCACAAAGCTCTGTACCGCGGGGAAGGCGGAAAGGGGAGGGCTCTGGCCTCATCTGGGCCCAGATGGACCCCCTCTGCCACCCATGGGCTCTGGCTTTGCTCACTATTTCTGCAGCTCCAGGCAGAGCCCCCCGCAGGGCCCTGGAGCAGGGACGCAGAGCCACAAGGAGGCAGCTCCTCAGATGCCCGTTCCGGTTGGTTCTCCCCATGCCCTTTCCCGCAGACCTGATCAAAGGCACCATCAAGCACGGCCTGACCGTGGAGGACCTCATCATGAACGGCATCAACTACCTGGACTCCCGCAGCAACTTCTGGAGGCAGCAGAAGCCCATCTACGCCCGGGAGCGCGACCGGAAGCTGATGCAGGAGCAGTGGCTGCGCAACCACAAACGCCGCCCCTCGCAGACGGCCCGCTACATCCTCAAGAGCCTGGAGGACATTGACATGCGTGGGTGCTGCTCTCAGAGGGACGGGGACGGGGCCCGGGCTTCCGTGGGCTGTGGATGGCTTCTGGGGGGCTGGAGGGACCTCCCCTCAGTCCACATCCCTCTTCCCTCCCCAGTGCTGACCAGCGGCAGCGCCGAAGGGAGCCTGCAGAAGGCCGAGAAGGTGCTGAAGAAGGTGCTGGAGTGGAACAAAGAGGAGGTGCCCAACAAGGATGAACTGGTCGGGAACCTGTACAGCTGCATGGGGAACGCCCAGATTGAGCTGGGCCAGATGGTCGCCGCCCTGCAGAGCCACCGGAAGGACCTGGAGATCGCCAAGGAATAGTGAGTGCCCGGGCCGAGGCCAGGGCCTGCAGAGGCGCTGGCCCGGGCCTGTGTGTTCGAGCCTCCTGCCAGGGCTGCCGGTGGCTCCACTCCCATCTCCTGCCCAGCATGCCCGGGAGAGGTGGGGGGCGAGGCGAGGAGCCTGGGGGCGCAGAAGGAGGAGCCACCTGCCCAGGAATGAGGGTAAGGGGCTGAAGGAGACTGTAGGCCTCCACCAAGGGGAAGGCACTGGCCCACAACTCGAAAAAGCTCCCAGCGGCCTGGCTCGTCGGGTATTTTCATTCTGACACCGTGTCAGCAAGCCTTCCTCAAGCCCAGCAAGCAGAGGCCACTCTCGCTGGGAACACGGCAGAGCCCAGACACGAGGGCCATTTCCCTGCAGGTGGGAACGGGGAGGGACATGGTTCACAGGTTACCATGGTGATCAGGGTGGTGACGGAAAAGCCCGGGACCCCGTGTCAGGAGCAGCATGTGTCAGGAGCCTGTGGGAGGGCACGGAGGCAGGTGGGAGGGTGCCTGAGGCTGGCGAGCACAGGGTGTTGCCGGGGGTGAGAGGGGGCCAGAGGAGGCTGGACTGAGGGGGTGGGGATCAGATCCAACCAGGTCCTCACAGACCATGGTGCTGACCAGGTGCCTGGGCTCTGGAGTGCGGCCGACCTGAGCTTCGGAATTGTGTCTGCAAGCTGCGGGACCCTGGACAAGGCCCGTAACCGCACTCAGCCTCAGGAGGACACAGCAATAGCCCCACCTGAGCGGGTGGGCGGGAGGACGGGGTGCGGAGTGCACACGGGGACCACCGTCACAGCAACATCAGCTCCCCCAGGAACCAGCTCTTCCAACCTATGGCCGCTCAGGGGGGGCCACGGCTTCCGGGGCACCTGGTGTGAACCTCTGGAGTCATCTGTGACTTTCTCCTCCCCCCACAGTCCTGAGTCCCTGTCAGCCTCCCATCATCCTGTTTCCTGGCTCTCGCTGCCTCCAGCTGCTCCCACACATCACCTCCAGCCTCTGCTTTTCATCTCTCCACCCTCCTTCCCTTTCGGACAGCAGGCCTCAGTCCCTCATTGCCCTCAGATGGAAAGCAAACACCTCTGTTTGGTACTCAAGGCCCTCTGATGTCAGCCCTCCATCTGGGCCAAACTGGACTTCCGGGACAGTCACTCCTGCCTCCTGCCTGCACCTTCTCCCTGGCGGGATCCCTGGGAGCCCTCCACTCCCGATTCATTCTCACCTGCTGTGCTTGCTGAGAAGCAGTATCACAGAAGTGGGGGCAGGCAGCTTTGGAGACATACCTGAGTTTGACTTCTGGCTCAGGCTGTGTGGACTTGATTAAACCTCAGTTTCCTCATCTCTAGTGAAGGCATAATCATACCAGTTCACAGGGATTATGAGAATTAAATGACATGTATCGACAGTAAGCCATTTAGACCCAACCCTAGCCCAGGCCCTAAAGACATTCACAATCTCTATTCTGGCAGAACTCCCTCCCAAGCCCCAGACCCACACAGCCAACGGATTCCAAAGCATTTCCACTTGGATGTCCCACAGGAACCCCCAAAAGAACATGCCCCAACTGGAGCCCCGTGTATCCCCCCAAACTTTGTGCTCCAGGGCTCCCTGTCTGTGAGGATGTCGCTTTTGCCCCACCCCCACCCCACCCCCACCCCCTTTTCCAAGAAGGAGCCCAGGCTGCTCTCCACACACCTCCCTGCTCACGCTCAGTGGCCCGGGCCCTGTCTGCGCTGCTCTTCCCTCTGCTTCCCTCCCACACTCAGTCCGAACCCTCCTCGCTTCGTGCCTGTTTCCTCAGACCTGGATTTCCTGCTGCCCAGCTGGCTCTTCTGTGCAAAACAAACCCAACGACCAGATCGAGTGCAGGTGCCCCGCTCTGTGCCCTGCCTCCGCTGGCTTGTCCTGGTCTCTCTTGACCCAGCCAACACCTCGAGCTTTCCACCTGCTAGTTCCTGAGGCATTTCTCCATCAATGCCCTCCTACCCCTGCTTCACCAGGTCAACAAGAGCCTTCCAGAAAGCCTTCCTGCGCCCCAGGGGTGACTTAGAAACCCCTCCCCTGCGTGCTCTCCCCACACTCCCCGATCCCCTGTCTGCACTGAGACTCCTGGCTGGGGCTGTCTTATATCCCTGTCTCTCCCAGCACCTGCCACGAACACGAACGGGCAGGCAGGAAATGCATGCCAAGTGGCTGAGTAAACAGAGCGCTCCTTAAACAAAGCCAGTTCCTTTTTGACATCCGCCAAGGCCTCCGTCTTAACTCGTGAGCTCCGTGTGCCCGGGGGCTCCCTCGCTCTACCCTGCCTCGCCCCTCCCTCTTGGCCCCAATGTTCATCCTTCTTGCGGGTGCAGTTCGAACTCCAACTTGCCTCAGGAGCTTCTTAGTGGCCCCAGCCCTCGTTTCTTCCTTCTGATGCTCTACAGACGGTTTGAACGCATGCTTTCTCATGACTGTGATTGGCAGCGTATTTTATATTATTGTTACGACTACATGGACGTATTGCAACTCATTCATTCGTTCATTCATTCATTCATCACACAACAGAGCACCCACTTTAGAAGGGGAGGCTGAGCCGAACCGGTTTGGCTCAGTGAATAGAGTGTCGGTCTGTGGACTGAAAGGTCCCGGGTTCGATTCCTGTCAAGGGCATGTACCTTGGTTGCGGGCACATCTCCGGTAGGTGTGCAAGAGGCAGCTGATCGATGTTTCTCTCTCATCGACGTTTCTACCTCTCTATCCCTCTCCCTTCCTCTCTGTAAAAAATCAAAAAAAAAATATTTTTTTAAAAAAAGAAAACAAAAGCAGGGGAGGCTGAGGTGCTGTGAGAGCAGCGGGTGCAACATGTGGCCAAGATCGCAAGGAGAGAGGCAGTGGCAGCCCTGCTGGGGGCCGAGGAGGCCTCAGCAAGGACGGGGTGTCAGCACGAGGAGAGGAGGCGGCGGGAGAAGGGCACCGGACAGAGGGTCCGGGCAGGGTTGGAGGGTCCGGGGGACTGCGGGAAGTGTGTGGGTTATACTGGTAAGTCTGATGCAGTTGTGGGTAGGGCCTCCCGCCCTCCAGAGGCTGTAGGGGAGAACACAGCGTCCAGAGCGGCATTCATTGCACTCCTTGGCTCCTGGCCCCTTCCTCCAGGGTCAAAGCCAGGGGTACAGCGTCATGCTTCAGTTCTGCATGTTTATTAACAGGAACGGGGCGACAGGCATAGGAGACACTCCTGTACTCTGACTTTTTAACCTGCGGATGTTTCATTCACAAAAATTGCCAGCGCTGAGCCACTGATAACGTGCAGGCTGCGTCCCACGTCTGTTAGTATAACCGGTGCCTCAGTGAGTGTTCTTGCCACACGATCTTCCTGAGGAAAGTTCCAGAAGTGGAGTTGCTAGATCGAAGGGGCAGCTTTGCTAAGCTGTTGACTGGCGGCCCCCCAGGAAGGTCTCGATAGTGTTCATTCTCAGCTCCGGGGCGTGAGTGGCCCCGTGCGTCCAGCCCTGCCGGCCTGGGCGTGTCCCTCCCCTGGACCCTGAGCCCCGGGGGCCCCTGTCTCCGCCTTCCTTTCCGCTTCCACACGGCCTTCAACGCCCGACGGCTAGCGAACAACCTGTCATCCTTCTCCCCCTCAGTGACCTTCCTGACGCCAAGTCCAGAGCCCTCGACAACATCGGCAGGGTTTTTGCCAGAGTGGGGAAATTCCAGCAAGCCATCGACACGTGAGTGACCGAGGGGGGCCAGGACTCCCAGCCTGGGGCCAGGATGCCAGGGACCGGGCATCAGAAGAACCTGGGTCTGGGCCCTGGCTCTGCTAGGCGGCCTCAGGAAAGCCACTCTGTAAGCTCGGGGCTCATCCGTTCAGTTAATTACTAGACTGGAATCAGCATTTTCTCAGAAGGTCCCAGGGACAAGCATCACCTTGAGCATTTGTTAGGGGTGTGAATTACAGGTTCGGTTTGGAACTCAGAGATCGGTTTATTTTTTATTAAAACTTTAAGATATATATATATATATATATATATATATATATATATATATATATTAATTTCAGCGAGGAAGGGAGAGGGAGCGAAACATCAATGATGACAGAGAATCATTGATCGGCTGCCTCCTGCATGCCACCTACTGGGTATGGAGCCCACAACCCAGGCATGTGCCCTTGACCAGAATCAAACCTGGGACCCCTCAGTCCACAGGCCCTGGCTGATGCTCTATCCACTGAGCCAAACTGGTTAGGGCTATTCTTTTTTTTTTTTTTTTTTTTTAAGTATTTTTATTGATTTCAGAGTGAGAGAGAGACAGAAACATCAGTGATGAGAGAGAATCATTGGTCAGCTGCCTCCTACATAGCTCACACTGGGACGGAGCCCACAGCCTTGGCATGTGCCCTGACTGGGAATTGAACTGTGACTTCTTGATTCTTAGGTCGACGCTCAACCACTGAGCCAACCCGGCCGGCAAGAATATTCTTAAGCGTTATTTTTATGCTATTTCAAATGATACTTTGTAATCATTGTTTGCAACTGTTTGTATCAAGTTTGATCTCATAGATTTTCCAAAACAGTGTTGGAAGCTTTAAAAAATGGTATGCTAATTAGTACTGCTCCTAATCGAAGAACGAAGAAAAGAACGGGTGGATGGAGGGCAGATCCTATTCTGGCCCCAGCAGGAGGCCTTGACCTCCGGTGGCCACGTGCGGGGTGGGGAGGGAGGGTTAGAGCGGAAGGAGCTGACTGGTCTTCACCCCAGGTGGGAGGAGAAGATCCCTCTGGCGAAAACCACTCTGGAGAAGACCTGGCTGTTCCATGAGATCGGCCGCTGCTACCTGGAGCTGGACAAGCCCTTGGAGGCCCAGAGCTACGGCGAGAAGTCCCAGCAGTGCGCCGAGGAGGAAGGGGACATCGAGTGGCAGCTGAACGCCAGCGTGCTGGTGGCACAGGCACAAGGTATGGGCTCGGGCCGGACACCCCACCTTCCCCAGCACGCAGGCCCCACTGCACGCCTGGGCGGGGAACCCTGGGGGCCAAACCTCCCATCCCAGGGTGCCGCTGCCCAGGTGAGTTCTGATTCTGAGAGTGGGGACCGACCCCTCCCTTTGACCAGGGTTAGTGCCTCCTTTGGGCCAAGCTCAGTGAGGGCTGAGGGCGTCCTGAGAGCGGCCCCTGTTCTCAGCTCAGCGGCAGACCAGCACAGCGCCGGGTCCTCATCACAACAGCGCCACCTGGTGTCGCCTCGGTGCTCTTACATTACCATTCTTGTATGTAATCACTCTGCAGCTAATGATTCTGCGCACGGGCCACCAAGTTTCAATCGCACTGTACGTGCACGCCCACACGCGGTGTTAAGACCATCGGAAAACACAGATATTTACATTACGATTCATAACAGTAGCTAAATTACAGTTATGAAGTAGCAACGAAAATAATCTTGTGGTTGGGGGTCACCACAACATGAGGAGCTGTATGAAAGGGTGGCAGCTTTAGAAAGGTTGAGAACCACTGACCTAGACAGTTGGTGTAAAGAATAGAGTAATAGCAGAAACCGGTTTGGCTCAGTGGGTAGAGCGTCGGCCTGCGGACTGAAAGGTCCCGGGTTCGATTCCGGTCAAGGGCACGTACCTTGGTTGCGAGCACATCCCCTGTAGGGAGTGTGCAGGAGGCAGCTGATCAATGATTCTCTCATCGATGTTTCTAACTCTCTATCCCTCTCCCTTCCTCTCTGTAAAAAATCAATAAAATATATATATTTTTTAAAAAGAATAAAGTAATATGTAAGTGAGCAAGCGCTGAGAACACTCAGGAAGTACTAATCTCTTCCTTCCTGTCCTCTCGTTAACTTCTCATAAGTGTCTCTCATAGAGAAAGTTGAAAGCCTCGGAAAAACCTATTTATGGCTCAACAAAAATGTAGGTATAGATCTCCATCCTCTTAAAAAAACATCAATGATGAAAGGAAATCATTGATCGGCTGCCTCCTACACGACCCTTACTGGGGATCGAGCCAGCAACCCAGGCATGTGCCCTGATTGGGATCGAACTATGACCTCTTGATTCAGGGGCCGAGGCTCAACCATTGAGCCACACTGGCCGGGGTCTGCAAAGTTCTTTAAAAAATCGAGTGGATATTTTAAAAATACAGATGTCCTCTTTGGAACCATCTAGAGATGGGACGGGATGGAGCTGTGGGCCCCTGACCTGGAGACACATGATGTGGGCACAGGCCCCTTCCCTCACTGACCCCTTCGCATGGCGGAGACGCATGGCTCAGGTCGCCAGGTCCTGTCCTCAGAGGAGGGGCGGCCCAGGAAAGCCAGGGGAAGGGGCTGCCGCCGGCTCACACAAGCTCCCACCCACCTGCCCCGGGAGGGCCAGCCAGGCCAGGGCTCCTGAGGGAGGCCGGCCCTGCAGGGCAGCCCCCCCTGCAGCCCCAGTGTCACACCCACCTGTGTGTGCCTCCCTGTGCTCCAGTGAAGCTGAGGAACTTCGAGTCGGCCGTGAACAACTTCGAGAAGGCGCTGGAGAAAGCGAAGCTGGTGCACAACAACGAGGCGCAGCACGCCATCCTCAGCGTGAGCCTCTCTCGGGCGGGGGGCGGGGGTGGGGGGCGGGGGGCGGGCCAGCACACGGTTCCTGCAGCCGCAGGGCACGGGCCAGGCCGGGCACTGCCTTCCAACATCTGCAAGCCACACAGTGTTTTTCAAATAAACAACAAAATGGAAAGGCAGGTTTTACAAAACATATTTACCTTCACTCTGGACGCTGACAGTCCTTATCCTGTTTTATTTTTCATTTTCTTTTTGTTGCTGTTGATCCTCACCTGAGGATATTTTTCTTTTTTTAAAATATATTTTATTGATTTTTTTCTTTCTTTTTTTAAATATAGAGAAAGGGTGAGAGATAGTTAGAAATATCGATCAGCTGCCTCCTGCACACTCCCCACTGGGGATGTGCCCGCAACCAAGGTACATGCCCTTGACCGGAGCCGAACCTGGGACCCTTGAGTCTGCAGGCTGACGCTCTATCCTCTGAGCCAAACGGGTTAGGGCACGAGGATATTTTCCCATTGAATTTTAGAGAGAGTGGAAGGAAGGGGGAGAGACAGAGAGAGAAACATCGATGTGAGACACACACTGATCAGCTGCCTCCCACGTGGGCCCGGACCAGGGCCGAGCATGGAGCCTGCAACTGAGGTATGTGCCTTCGACCAGAATCGAACCCGGGACCCTTCAGTCCAAGGGCCGACGCTCTGTCCTTCAACCAGAATCGAACCTGGGACTCTTCTGTCCGAGGGCCGGAGCTCTGTCCACTGAGCCAAACCATCCAGGACTTATTTTTTTTTCTTTTTTTATTTAATGCTGGCGGACACCTAAAATGATTTTAGAACAAAACCCCAGCCTCCCCCAGGAGACCACGAGAAAGACCGTGGCTGCCTCACCCACTCGCCTGCACCTGCGCTGCACAGCAGGCTGCGGCCGGCACGGGCGGGCGTTTAAGGGAACGTGACGGACCGGAAAGTTACAGCTAACGTTCAGCTCCTCAGTCCCCCTGGCCCCATCTCGGTGCTGCACAGCCACCCTGGCTGCGGAGCCGCGGAGGGCAGGCCTCGCGCAGTCCCACCCCGGCCGCCATGGGGCCGTGCTGGCCTGGCCGCCGGCCTCAGGAGCAGACACACAGCGGAGGCCGCTGAGGCAGGTGGGCGGCCTCAGGAGGGTCAGCACGCTCACCTCGCAGACGCACAGGCGGCGGAGTGTGCCTCGGCTGGCCACCTCCCTCCCTCCGGGGGCCCAGCAGGCTGCCGCCCTCAGCTGTCCCATGTCCAAGTTCCAGAGCCACCACCGGCGCGCAGTGGGACGCAGCTGGAGTGAATGAAGCAACCCCTCCTCTGGGGAGCTTGCCCGGTGGTTGGAAGAGGCCATCTGCATAACTGGGGGGAGGGGGGGAGCGGGAACTGCCTTGGAGGTGTGCAGGCACTCAGGAAGTAGGGGCCCTGGGCAGGGACACCCTGAAATGCTGCCGTTGCAGTTGGAGGTGGACCTCCTGGTGGTTTTTTTTTTTTCCATATATTTTTATTGATTTTTCACAGAGAGGAAGAGAGAGGGATAGAGAGCTAGAAACGTCGATGAGAGAGAATCATCGACCAGCTGCCTCTTGCACACCCCCTACTGGAGATGTGCCCGCAACCAAGGTACATTCCCTTGACCGGAATCGAACCCGGGACCTTTCAGTCCGCAGACCAACGCTCTACCACTGAGCCAAACCAGTGCCGGCCTGGTGGTTTTTGTTTGTTTGTTTGTTTGTTTGTTTGTTTTTAGAATAGGTATATATATATTTTTAAATATATTTTATTGATTTTTTTACAGAGAGTAAGAGAAAGGGATAGAGAGTTAGAAACATCGGTGAGAGAGAATCATCCATCAGCTGCCTCCTGCACCACCCCCCACTGGGGATGTGCCCACAACCAAGGTACATGCCCTTGACGGGAATCAAACCTGGGAACTTTCAGTCCGAAGGCCAAAGCTCTATCCACTGAGCCAAACCGGTTTCACTCCTGGTGGTTTTGAAGAACAGGAAGGCAGGGGTGGCCAGGCCGCGGGCACGGAGGCTGTGGGTGCTGAGCGCTGTGTGGGAGGCAGGAAAGGAGACCCGGGCCTGGGTGCAGGAGTTGGGCCACGTGAGCAGAAGGATTCGGGGCAGAGAACCTGCCGGGCAGTTGGTGGACCAGCCTGGGCTTGAAGGTCTAGGAACCACAGAGGAGCCACTGGCCCACTTGGGTTTTTAGGGGGTGAGGCCATCATTTGTGAGGACCGCGGTGGAACCATATTTCCCCTGTCACGGGGGAGACGTCGCTCCCAAGCAGACCCCACCGAAGGGCGGTCCGCGCCCGCTTCCTGGCCCAGGGCGACTCCGGCCTGTCACCTTCTCTGTCGACCGGGGGTGGCTCCCTGAACATGCCTTCCCTTCAAATCCGGCCCCCAGAGGGGGTGCGCTCCCCTTCCCAGGCCCAGCCATCTGCTCCTCAGCTCGCACACGTGGTCTCCCCCAGCGAATGATGGGGGACAGATGGCATGGCGATTAAATTCAAGACCTTGCAGATGGCCTCTTTCAACCTCTGGGCAAGCCTGGGATGTCCAGTCCAAAGGTGACAGCCATGGTCCTGGCCCTCAGGAAACGCACCCCTCCTGTGTGTGACAGTGCGGTGGGGACCAGGGCATCCAGAGTGAGAGAGCCCGCCGGCAGGGAGGCTGCGCTGGGGCTTTCCCATCAAGGAGGGTTCCGGGTCAGCTTGAGGACGGAGCATGATTTTGAAAGGTTGAGAGGCAGAGAGAAGTGTCTGTGGGGCCTAACAGCCCCACGGCCCTCAGTGATCCAGGGCCCCTGTCCCTTTACCCAGGCATCCCCAGGCAGGGGGCGCAGACGCGCGTCTGGGCCTGGTGGTCAGTCATTCAATAGATGGTGCTCAGTGCCTGCTGGTGCTCCCCCCACTCACCCCCATGCAAGCCACGAGGAAGAAGGCAGAGCCTGCCCTCAAGCTGTGCACAGGCTGAGCGGCAGACCCCGGGGCCCACGCCGCCCTGAGCCTGAGTTCCCTCCGTGGCTTTGCTGACCTGCTGCAGGCTTAGGCACCTGCACCGTGTCTTTGCATTGGCTGAAGCCAAGGGAATCTTTGTAAAAAGGCGGAAACTGGTAGGTACACACACTTCCCAAATACGCGCCTAGGCCCTGCAGTCACGTCTCTCCTGCCGCTTCGCCTGGGTATTTCCAAGTCCCTGTGTCCCAGGCAGGAGCTTCAGAGGAGCCGGGAGCAAAGGAGGGGGCAGGGCTAGTGCCGAGCCCTGCTTCCTGGGTTGGGACGTGGGTGAAAGGGGAAGTGTAGGTGCCAAATAGGGGTTATGAGAGTTCACTGGCTCCTCTACCACCCGCAGGCGTTGGATGACGCCAACAAGGGCATCGTCGATGAGCTGAAGAAGACGAACTACAGGGATATATTCAAAAAGAAAGAGAAAGGTGAGTCCCTGGAGCGCCCGAGGCAGCGCTCAGAACGCTCCCTCTGCGTTCTCTCTGTCGGTCCGTGCGCGCTCAGCAGCTGGTCCCGCCCGGAGCACTGCCTACGAGCATTCTGACTCCAGTGCCACCTGCGCCCCAGCCTCCTGCTGGGGCTGGAGAGGGAGGCGATCCAGCCCGCTGTGGGCTGCGGTCTGAGCCCATCGTCTGCCCGGGAAGCCCATTTCTGTATTTCTCCAACTAATTGATCAAGAATTTGCTGAGCACGGGTCCCATGCCAGTGAGGTGTGAGATGTGGGGGAGACAGGCTCAGCCCGGAGCCCAGTGGGACAGCCAGACAATTGGCGTTGTCCCTGACCGGGCTCCTGCAGGCAGCGCTGACCTGGAGGAACGCTGTGCCCTGAGCACAGGCCAGGCACAGAGGGGAAGAATGGTCTGTTTCAGGCTCCAGACAAGGCCCGAGGCTTCTCCAGGTGCATGCTGGGAGAGGGAGGGCATTTCTGGCGGGAACAGCAGGAGCAAAAACAGAGGCAGGACGACAGCTACTTACACGTGTGGGGCCCTTCCTGTGTGCCAGGCACTGGGGTGGGCTCCGCATTCAGTCCTCACCACCCTGGGAGGCAGGTACCGTGTGGGGGCAGTGGAGGCTGAGGGAAGCTGAGTGACCTGCCGGGGCACAAGCAGTCTGACTCAGAGCCACACTGTCCCCTGCTCCGAGGAGCTGCTCTTTGGGACCAACGTGGGGAGAGGAGGTGATGGAGCGGGAGAAGGGGGCAGGGGGCAGAGGGTCAGAGGTTAGGCTGCGGTGCAGAGACGCAGACCGACCTGCTTTAGCACATGCTTCCTCCCAAGGCCTCGGGGAGTGCAGAGGCCTTTCCTGGCTCTGAGAGGCTCTCGAAGGAAGTGAGGGAGGAGGAGGAGGGGCTTGGCCTCCAGGCCCCTGGGCCCGCCTGAGCCGTTAGGGTGGACCCCAGAGGGTATGGGTGACAGAAACTGATCTCCACTCAGTGCTTCCTCTTCTCGGGGCTTTATACATGAGGTCCCGACGCTGGTCCTGCGGGGACACTATCAAATAAGCATTGCTATTTGCTGGATTCGATGGATGACGCGGAGGCAGAGGGGGTGAGGCTCACGGTGGTGTCTGTCTCGGGAAGCCTGGCTCTAGACCTAGGCTTTAGCCATGGTCTGCGCCGTCCCTGGCGGTGCCCTGCCTGCCCCTCAGTGGTGCCCAAGCCCTATCGCAGCTACTCTGGGCAGCCAAGAGGACAGAGCCGCCTCCAGGCACCACGGCGAAGCCCCTCTGACCAGGCATGGTGATGGGGATCCGGGTGTGGGGTTCTCGGGCTCCTGAGCAGCCCTTTTATCAGTCAGCATCTGCCGCGTGGTGCATGGATCCCCTCAGAGCGGCTCAGCCTCCCCACATGGCCTCGGAGCTGCTCTCAGAAGCCACAGGAGCGGGAGAGGGGAAGGGACACACCTGGGAAACGGCAGGGGCTCCGGGCAGCCTCCCTCACACCGCCCTTGCCGACTCCAACTCCGGGCAGGCCAGCGGCCCGGGAAGGTGTCCTCCGGAACTCAGCCGGGCAGGGCATTTCCCTCCCGGAACAGCAGGTGGCAGCATTGCCTATGTCTTCACGCCCAAACAGCGGGTGGCAGCCCTTTCCCAGCTGTGACCTAGTAGGCACCTAAGAGGGGCTCCCAGGAAGAGAAGGTGGGGGCGACCCAGGAGGAAATGGGTGACTGTTCTCTGTCACTGGTTCAAAACAAGGAGCGAGGATCCCTCTGGCTGTAAAGGGCTCTCTCCAGCTGACAGTCTGTGTCTATGTGTCCAGGGAACCTCCCAACACAGGACGCAATCTGCTCCCCAGGGACAGAGACAGGCGGGATGGGGTGCTGGAGAAAAGACCCCTCTCTCCTCCCCCAGTGCCCACGCTGTTTCCTGTAGGGAAAGACGGTGTGCTGTGGGGGCAGACTGTCCTGGGTTCGAATTCTGGCTCCCCACCTCATGCGCAGTGTGATCGTGGTGTGTGGTCGATGCCTCTTTATCGATCTCTGGTCCCTTGACTGCAGACTCACATCAATGACACGCTATGAACTTTCAGGACCCTGTGCACTTACCGTAGGATGGTACGGCCTGTGCCGCCCACACCGCTCCTGTCTCTCTGTGTGGAAAGGAGTGTTTTGAAAAAAAAAAAATATATATATATTGATTGATATATAAAAAATATATAAAAAATGATTGATTTATTTATTATTTTTTTAAAATATATTTTATTGATTTTGCACAGAGAGGAAGGGAGAGAGATAGAGAGTTAGAAACATCAATGAGAGAGAGTCATCGATTAGCTGCCTTTTGCACACCCCCTACTGGAGATGTGCCCGCAACCAAGGTACATGCCCTTGACCAGAATCGAACCCGGGACCTTTCAGTCCCCAAGCCGACGCTCTATCCATTGAGCCAAACCGGTCTCGGCTTTTATTGATTTTTTAAAAATATATTTTATTGATTTTTTACAGAGAGGAAGGGAGAGGGATAGAGAGGTAGATACGTCAATGAGAGAGAAACATCAACCAGCTGCCTCCTGCACACCCCCCGCCAGGGATGTGCCCGCAACCAATGTACATGCCCCTCAACGGAATCGAACCCGGGAGGGACCCTTCAGTCCGCAGACCGACGCTCTACCACTGAGCCAAACCCGTTCCGGCTATTTTATTGATTTTTTACAGAGAGGAGGAGAGAAGGATAGAGAGCTAGAAATGTCGATGAGAGAGAAACATCGACCAGCTGCCTCTTGCACACCCTCTATCGGGGATGTGCCCGCGACCGGAATTGAACCTGGGACCTTTCAGTCCGCAGACCGACGCTCTACCACTGAGCCAAACTGGTTTCGGCAAGAAGTGCTTCTTTAAAAGCACAGGCCACCACAGGCGGGGGTCCTCCCGGGCCCCGAGAGGGACACATTCACGTTTACCTTTCTCTCTTCCTTTCCAGAAGAGGCTGCTGCCATGGACAAAGCAAGAGCAGTGGTGAGGGGGAAGGAAAGACTGAGGAGGAGAGAGGACCCCGAGAAGGTGATGAAGCAGTGGGAGAGGGACCGCGATGAGGCGGAGAGGGAGACCACGGACGAGGACGAGCTGTCTGACGGAGACGGTCGGACCGTCACGGAGATCGGACAGGAGGTGAACGGGAAGAGAGGAGTGGAAATAAAAATCTCCTCCACAAGAGACCTGGGAGCCATAGGGAAGGATATGAGAGATGCCGTGAAGAAGCAGTCCAGAGAACCAGGCGGAAGTTCGGAAGGAGCAGGTGAGGAAGCGGGTGAGGAAGTGGGTGAGGAACTGGGCAAACGGGAATTGAGAGAAATCTACAGGCGGCCTTCCGATCTGGACCAGAACCCCACAGAAGAATTAGTAAAAGCCGGGTCCGAAGAGGAAGAGGAGAGTCTCTCAGAAGCCGAAAGAAGAGGGTCGGAAGGAACGGGGGAAGTAGACCTGGGCGAGACGGAGACGGAAAGTACTGAAGTAAAGGAAAAAGATGAAAAGGAAGATGATTGAAGCCCTTGTTCGTAGGCTTTAGGGTCCCGAGGCTGAGGGTCACAGGGACCCGGGGATCTTATTAAAGTAGACATTCGCGTTGAGGTTTTTGAATAGCTCACCTCTGCCTTTTTCTGACACTGTTTTCCCTTTAAATAGATACCTTACACACGTACAAACCCTGAGTCTTTCATTGCCTCCGCACCCCCCTTCGCCCCTGTTATGCCCAAGTGTCATCAACCCCAAAGACTACCAGGGAGCCGAATCCGATGCAATTGCAGAAAGCCTGTATTTATTTCGGACTAGTCCGAGCTCGGTCCCACTTACACCAACGAGGGCATGGCGAGAAAGAGGAAGAACTTAACATATCAATGGGTGGTGCCGCTACCTTGGCTGACCTGATTGGTTGGGTTAGGCCTAGGGTCCACCCTGCCCTCTCAGCCCCCATTTGCAGAGCAGATTTGGAGAGTGAATGACCAGGCAGGGGGACAACTTCCCAGGCAGAGCTCTGGACTGGGTGAGAAACAAGGCCTGACCCAGAGTGCGAGCAAGGTGTGACGTGTGGCCCTCTCCCCCAGGCCCTGACAAAGCCTGTGGGAGGAAGAGGAAGGTGCGAAGGAAGAGTGTCCGCCCGGTGAGGTGAGCTGTATGAATCAGGACGGCTTCAGCGGGGAGGACAGAGAAAGGCCTGGGAGTAGACGCATGTCTGCCCAGCCGCTGTCCCTGGGCTCGTTTGGCCGAGTACCTGCTTTATGCAGCGCACGGTGGGAGGCTCTCTGGAAGAAATAATGATGGTTGCAGCCTCCACCATCACTCAGGGAGGGAGACCTACCTGTAAACCCCTAAGCCCTGGGAGCAGAATGAATGAATGCTGGTACTGGTAGGGGCACTGTGCTCTAGGAGCCCAGAGGAAGGAACACAGGTCCTACCCGCAAACAGGAAGCAACGGTTGGAGGAGCAGGAGGAGCAGTTGGAGGAGCAGGTCCTACCCCCAAACAGGAAGTAATGGTTGGAGGAGCTACCTCGGCTGGCAGTCACGTCAGTCAGACCTGAGCCAGGTGTGATCAGGGTGTGAAGCTGGTCCTCTCCCCCAGGCCCTGTCCAAAGACCTTACAGGAAAGAGAAAGAGAAAGAGAAAGAGAAAGATGCTAAGAAGTACCTTTGTTTCCTCCTCTCTGGAATGGCACCTGCCTCAGGGGTTGCTGTGGGATTACACCAGTGCTTCCCACAGCACACGGTGTGTTTCAGCGTCTGCACAGAGGAAGTGGGGGCAGAGCAGCTGCCTCTGAGGATGAGTTACAATTTCACTACTGTTACCCTTTGTCCCTTTAGCTACTACCATCCTGGTTCTGTCTCCAACAGCTCCCCGCAGGGGGGGGCTGAATGTAGACCAGGACAGGGCCTGGCTTGGGGGGGGGGGAGCAAGGGAGGCATTTCAGCTGCCACATTTCACGGGGTGCCAACAACTCAGCAAGCGAGATACACAGTATTTTAATGCAATTCTGTAAAAAAACAACAACAAATTAACGCAACAACTCATGATGAATAAGACATCAACCTTTTCTGTAAAGACGGGATCCCACCTGGCACTTGCAAGACCCTGCTTCCCCTCCCCGCATCCTTATCTTGGCGCGGTGACTGCTTTCCTCTTTAAAGACTTCCTTACGAACCCCTACAAGGAAAAGGCGGCCATAAAATTTGCACTCCGCTGCCCCCTCTCAGGGGACGTCGGAATTCTAGCATATCACTCGGATGTCCCCTCTCAGGGGACATTGCAGTTTATTAGTGATTACGGGGAATTGAGTTAATTCAACGCACGTTTCGCAAAGTAGCGCCGAGTAGCTGGTAGCCAATGTCCAGAATGGTTCGGAGTGCAAAGGGTTAATTAAAAAACAAAAAAAAACAAAAAAAACCCTCTGCCCAGCACTTCTGCTGCTGCTCAGCACGTCGGGGTGTGGCCTCCCGCTCTCCACGCTCCACGCCCCCCCAACCCTCCCCCCCCGCCTCCCCCCCCGCCTCTCCCCCCCCCCCCCGCCGCCCACGGGCCGCTCGGTTTCGAGTTTCGCTTTGCTGCGCCTGCGCAGAAGCGAAGGCGCGCCCGGCCCCTCACGCGGTCCAGGTCCCGCCCCGCGGCTATGAAAGGCGGCGCGGCGCGGGGTGGGCGCTCCTCGGCTCCGTGTCCCTCCGCGCCCGCGGCGGCCCCGGGAGCTGGTGCTGCGAGGCGGCGGCGGCGGCGGCCCCTCCCCATCATGGTGAGCGGGCGGCGGGCGGCGGGCGGCGGCGGCGGGCGGCGGGCGGCGGGCGGCGGGAAGGAGGGAGTCACGCCTCCACGGAAAACAGGGCAGAGGGGGGTTTGGGGAGGAAGTGCCGTATGCAGACGAGGCCCTGCGGTCCCGCACTGGAGTGGAGGCTCCCGGCGGTGCAGGGCCACCCTGAGGTGGGGGAGAGGCGAGCAGAGTGGGCTGGGACCGGGGTGGAGGTGGGGAGCGGCCGCTGGAGGAGGAAGGGACCCGGGGCTGCGGACCAGAAGGCGCGCGGCCCCCGCCTCCCCGGCCCTGGGCCTCGTCCCGGACCCCGGAGTGCCAGCTCCCTTCTGGCGCGCCGGCGGGCGGGGAGCTGGTGCGGAGACGAGTTTACAGGAGCGCCGTCGCCACTTGTGGCTTCGCTGGCAGGAAAAGCAGCGGCTCAGAGAGGTGCCGGGACACAGCGAAGTGGGGGCGCAGCTGGACCCCGAAGGCAGGTGCCCGTGCTGCCCAGGCTGGCGCAGCCACAGAGACCAGGGCTTCGGGGGGCCGCGCGCAGAGGAGGAGGGGGCCCGCGTGGTGAATGAGGCCCTTTGTCCAGTGCTCTCCTGCCCTGCCTCCCACCAGCCCCTCTGTGGGACCATTGTCCCCCCCACCCCAGACAAGAGAGTATTATCTGCTGCTGCCATTGTTGGGGGAAGGGAGGCAGCCTTCGGGTAACCCTCCTCCAGCCACTCTCCTCAGCGCGCTCAGAGCTCGGGCGGCCGTGGCTGTGCCCAGACGTAAGACTCCTGCCTCCGGAGAGGCAGGTGCGGAGAAATCAAAGTTAGGGGTCCCCGGAGGCACAGCCTCAGGCCCTCTCTGCAGGCACTACAGCCCATTTAAAAAAAAAAATTTGTATTGATGTCAGAAGAGGAAGCGAGAGTGGGAGAGATAGAAACATTAATGATGAGAGGGAACCATTGATCGGCTGCCTCCTGCACACCCCCTAATTAGGGACCAAGCCGGCAACCCAGACATGTGGCCTTGTCTGGAATCAAACCTCCCCCTCCCCCCCTTTCAGTCTGCAGGCCGGCACTATCCACTGAGCCAAACCAGCTAGGGTGCACATTTTTCTTTAGAGGCCACAGCAGTGGGTTGCTCCGATAGAGGAAGAGTTTGGGAAGGCTCAGACAAGCCCGCCCTTCATCCTCCACAACCAGGAGCAGTCGGCGCCGGAGAGAGGAGAGAACGTCCCCTGCTTCCCAGCTTGGGGGGTGGGGGGGGCACCCACCACAGCCAGGGTGCCTGTAATCCCATCTGCAGCGCTCCAGGCAGGGAGGGGTTCCCAGTTAGGAGGCGGCCAGAGGCCGGGGAACAAGGGAGCATCTTGGGACCTGGCTGACCTCTGCTCTTCCCTCCTCTCACAGAATAGAGGCTTCTCTCGCAAGAGCCACGCATTCCTGCCCAAGATCTTCTTCCGCAAGATGTCATCCTTAGGGGCCAAGGACAAGCCCGAGCTGCAGTATCCCTTCCTGCAGGACGAGGAGACGGTGGGCACGCTGCAGGAGTGCAAGACACTCTTCATCGTGCGTGGCCTGCCGGGGAGCGGCAAGTCCACGCTGGCCCGGGCCATCACGGACAGGTACCGGGACAGCACCAAGACGCTGTCCGCCGATGCCTACAAGATCACGCCCGCCCGAGGCGGCTTCTCGGAGGAGTACAAGCGGCTGGACAAGGACCTGGCCGACTGCTGCCGCCGGGACATCCGGGTCCTCGTGCTGGACGACACCAACCACGAGCGGGAGCGCCTGGAGCAGCTCTTTGAGATGGCCGACCAGTACCAGTACCAGGTGCTGCTGGTGGAGCCCAAGACGGCGTGGCGGCTGGACTGCGCCCAGCTCAAGGAGAAGAGCCAGTGGGGGCTGTCGGTGGACGAGCTGAAGAAGCTGAAGCCCGCGCTGGAGAAGGACTTCCTGCCGCTCTACTTCGGCTGGTTCCTGACCAAGAAGAGCTCGGAGACCCTCCGCAAGGCTGGCCAGGCCTTCCTGGACGAGCTGGGCAACAACAAGGCCTTCAAGAAGGAGCGGCAGCACTGTAGGTGGCGGGGCGGGCAGGGTGGGGCAGGGAGCCTCGCTCATAAGGCCCCTTGCTGTGCTGCGTGCACAGGACCGTGGTGTCCTCACAGCGCTGGGAGCCCGTGGGGAAGCGGGTGGAGGGTCGCCTAGTACCCGGGGGGGGAGGGGGGGTAGCCTTGGGTAGTGGGAGCACAGCGGGATTTCACCCTTTCTTCTCCCCAGGTCCCCTCTCTCCCCGGGGACTGTAGACCACTGAGCCCATCTTAGCGGTGGGAAAAACAAATTACTGTCCTAACAGAAACTTGTATTTCATGTGCCATTAGGAGAAGCTGGCCCAATGTTTTCAAACTCATGTTTAGCAGCAGAACCATTTTAAATGTTCTACGGACTATGGTGACGTCACTGGGGATGATGGTTCTCAGGCCTGGGCTACACAGTGCACCTTTCCCTGGCACCCCTCGTTTCAAACAGCAGTCTCCCACCTGGTCCAGATGCCCTTGTTCTGCAGAGGGAAGAGGCCCCGAAGGGGTGTGGGGTTTGCCCAGAGCCATAGTGAGAGCCTGGACTTTGTCCACTCACGCAGGGGCCTCCCCACGGTTCTCTCGTGGTAAGGGCCGTTTGCTCCGATGATGGGAGTGGGTTTGGGTGAGGAAGGGCCCTGGTGACCTTTGTTCTCCTGCGGTGGCCCATTTAACCCATTTCTGGTTCCCCCAAATCTTAGGTTCCTTTCATACTTAAAATGTCCCCTTCCTCCCCCCATACTTGTGCTGCTCAGAGGCAGGAAACTCGTGCTTGTTTATGTTCGTGGAGAACTCCCTGCTCAGCTCCTGAAGCTTGGATGCTGGGAAACCAGGGGATGCGGTGATTGGCCAGGTGTGAGTCCTGCACCTGTGAGGAGCTTGAGAGAAAAGCACCAGAGGCAGGGCTCCTGGTCAGAGCTGGTGGCTCTGCCCTAGAGGCACTGCCTCTTGAAGCTGCTTTTTGTCATTACAAACTGGGATCCTTTTCTGCCGGGACCCCGCCGGAGAAATGTACGGGGTCAAGAATAAGGGCTGCGCTCCGAGTAGAGGCCTCCCCCGGAAAGTGAGTGATGTCCTTGCAGGTACTTGATTCTGGGACTAAACAGGGAAAACCTTAGTGACTCTGAAGCTAAGCCACAAGGCTTGGAGTCTGGACATTGAAGTCACAGATACTTCCTTCTACCAGCCACATGATACCATCCCATTACATCCCAAGGCCCGTTACATCTGACAAACCTGCAAGGTACACAACATAGTATGGTGACCAGGTAACCATCCCACTGAGTGAACTAGGGTGCTGTTAAGACTTATCTGGGTGGTTGTGGGAAAACGGGGGTATGGTCACCCTAATTGTTGTACTTCAATGACAGATAAGGGTCAAATGGCTCATAAGTGGGCTAGGTTGTTAATTATGCTCTTTCCTGCACCCTCCATCGGATCACATAGTTCCTAACCCTCTTTTTCTCCTTTCCCCCCCTTTTCATGACGTGGGGATTCCCATTGTTGTTCTGGTGAGCGGCTTGTGCTGCCTATTCTGGGTTACAAGTGCTTTCGTGTTCAATTCTGGGAATGAGATGTAAAACTCTACATAACACAGGGAATTTAGCACTTTAAAAAAATATATATATACTTTATTGATTTTTTCCAGAGAGGAAGAGAGAGGGATAGAGTTAGAAATATCGATTCAGCTGCCTCCTGCACACCCCTTACTGGGGATGTGCCTGCAACCCAGGTACATGCCCTTGACCAGGAATCGAACCTTTGACCCTTTGATGTGTGGGCTCATGCTCTAACCATTGAACAATACTGGCCATGGCTAATGCACCCTTTTAAAGTTCTGGGGTTGCTATTACTTTGACCAACTAATGAATAAATGATTTACAGTGGAGAGCTCAAGAATTTATGCCTTTTTAAAAATTTGATTTCAGAGGGGAAGGGGGGAAAAAAGAGGTTTGGTGTTCCACTTATTTATGCATTCGCTGGTTGATTCTTGACTGGGGATCAAACCTGCAACCTTGGCATATGATACTCTAACCAATTAAGCTACCTGGCCAGGGCTCAAGAATTTTCGTGTGAGGTTTGTGTAACTCTGGGCCTCGATGGTCTTGGTGGCGTTGGGACGCGCTCCTGCCCTGACTCACTCTGCTCTCTCCCTGCAGTTGCCCCTGGGGACGAGCACAGGGAGAAGGTTGACCTGGCCGCCTACTTTGGGAAGAGACCTCCCGGCGTGCTGCACTGCACAGCCAAGTTCTGTGACTACGGGAAGGCCGCCGGGGCTGAGGAGTACGCCCAGCAGGATGTGAGTGCTGCAAAGGGACACGGGTGGAAGCGGGGAGGGGACAAGGGTCTGGAGGTGGTACTGGCTTAAGACAAATAAACAAGATGGCAGCTCAAGAAAAATGAATGCCCAGCTCACCCCCTCCGATGGCTTATTGCACACACCTCAGGCACCCTTCCTTGGGCCCACCCGCCTAGCAGTGCTGCCAGTCTTAGGCCTGCCCACCAGTGCTGGTTCTCCTGCAGATTAATGGAGAATGCTGGTTGGGAGCAGACTCCTGCTCTGGCCTCTGTAAGCCTCCATTCAGTCTCAAAGACTAGGAGTCCCTTGTCCTGAGGGAGCCTGGTGCTGAGGTTTCTGTCCTTAGGTCTGAGGCCTGGCCTTGTCCCCAAGTAAGAAGTGTCCTAGAATAGTGAGGTTTATTGGCTTGGGGGTACCCGTTCCTTCATCTCACAACTGGTATCCTCGCCCACAGCGACATGGAGATCTGTTGCTGGGATATACATGGCTGTCTCTAGCCTCCTTCAGGCCACCTCAGCAAGGCCTTCCCTGACCCTCCACCATCGTCTCCCACCTCTCTGTCTAGCTTAATGTAGCTAGTTTACTTGTGTGGTCATTGGTCTCCTCCCGCTGAAAAGGAAGACCCCTGAGGGCCAACATTTTTATTTGGGTTCACCTCTCTTCCCAGCACCTAGCCTAGCTTCAAGAATAAGTGTATATTGCCTTAGCTCAGTGGATAGAGCATTGGCCTGCTGACTGAAGGGTCCCCGGTTTGATTCCAGTCTAGGGCACATGCCCGGGTTGCGGGATTGATCTCCAGTGGGGGCTGGCAGGAGGCAGCTGATCAATGATTCTCTTTCATTATTGGTATTTCTATCTTTCCCTTTCCTTCTCTGAAATCAATAAAAAGGTATTAAAAAGAATAAGCGTATAACATTTTTACTACTAACCATTCATTTAGCAGTATGTCTTAAGCATCTTTTATGTGCTAGACACCATTGGGATGAAGGACAGGGAGCAAAAATAGAGCAGCTTTTATGGTCAAATGGGCTTTCTCAGAGAAACAGATATAACCAGATGTGCAATCAGATGTAAAGCAAGATTTTGCTCAAGGCATTTATTTCTCACCTCGCCCTGCCCTCCAGGTTATGGCCTGGTTATCGGGGTAGCTATAACCAGGGAAAGCACTCATGACAGTAGCACTATGTGCCTGACATTGTTCTTTTTTAAAATATATTTTTATTGATTTCAGAGGGAGAGGAAAAGATAGAAGCATCAATGATGAGAGAATCCATGGTTGGCTGCCTCCTGCACACCCCACATTGGGAATAAAGCCTGCAACTTGGGCATGTGACCTGACAGAGATTCAAACCACAACTTCCTGGTTCACAGGTCAACATTCAACCACTGAGCTATACTGATCAGGCCCGATACTGTTCTAAGCTCTTTACCCAGTCACTCCTTTAATGCTCACACGGAGATGGGTTCCATTCCACTTCAGATGAATAAGCCAATGGGGAGAGGTTCAACGGTTTGCTCAAAGCCCTGCAGCTCGAAGGGGGGAGGGACTAGATTCTGAACGCAGGAAGTCTGGCTTTTAACCTCTGCCTCCCTGGCACCTTGGTTTTTGTTTGTTTGTAAATATATTCTTATTGATTTTACAGAGGAAGGGAGAGGGAGATAGAAACATCAATGATAGAGAATCATTGATTGGCTGCCTCCTGTGCGCCTCCTACTGGGGATCGAGCCGGCAACCTGGGCATGTGTGCCCTTGACCAGAATCGAACCTGGGACCCTTCAGTCAGCAGGCCATCACTCTATCCACTGAGCCAAACCGGCCAGAGTGACCTTGTTTTGTTCACATTAGCCTGAAGTCAGTGGAAAAAACACCCCAACACCACATAGGCTGTTAGTGATATTTATGGATGATGTGCCTTTTACCAGAGGGCTCTGCCCAGTTGTGCTCACCTGTCGACTGACCCATGCTTCACATCGTCCTCTCTGGAGGCCACCACCTGCAGCTGGGTCCTCATTCTCTGTCTCTGCAGGTGGTGAAGAAGTCTTACTCCAAGGCCTTCACGCTGACCATCTCTGCCCTCTTTGTGACGCCCAAGACCACGGGCGCCCGGGTGGAGCTGAGCGAGCAGGAGCTGCCGCTGTGGCCCAATGACGTGGACAGGCTGTCTCCCTCTGACAGCCTGCCCCTGGGCAGCCGCGCCCACATCACCCTAGGCTGCGCGGAGGGCGTGGAGGCCGTGCAGACTGGCATCGACCTCCTGGAGATTGTGCGGCAGGAGAAGGGGGGCAGCCGAGGAGAGGAGGTGGGTGAGACACCCCGGGGCAAGCTCTTCTCCTTGGGCAATGGGCGCTGGATGCTGAACCTGACTAAGAATCTGAAGGTCAGGGCCATCTTCACGGGCTACTATGGGAAGGGCAAGTCTGTGCCCACACAGGGCGGTCGCAAGGGGGGTGTCTTTCAGTCCTGCACCATCAACTGAGTGTTCTCACCACTCAGGTGCCCCTCTTTAGAAGGGAAGGGGGTGCAGAAGAAACCATGCCCCCTGTTTGATCTTTAAGACTTTTTTTTTATTCAGTTAACCTTGTAACTTTTCAAAACTTGTAAAATAACTGTCCCTCTTTTTCTGCCTACCCTCTTCCTGTCTAATTCAAGCTCTCAACAGAAAGGGGAGGGGGCAGGTACCATTCAGAAATCTGGACCAGAGCTGATAAGGCCAAGCTGGGCCTGGAGCTGTAGCCACAGCCATGAGCCCTGTCCGAACTGACTAGTGGGAGAGACCTCAGGGCTCCACTCCCTTCAGCCCTGGGACCCTCAGCTTTGGTTCATTTCTTAATCAGTGCAGCCTCTGGAAGACTGAGGCTGCCTCTGGGGCAGAAAAGGGGTTAACCTTTTAAGTGCCTGTCCCCTCCTCCTTCACACTGTAACTAGGTAACAGTTTGATAGCTAGCAAAGGAAACCGACCAGTAAGCAGCAACCACACCCCAGGTGCTGGCCTTACCCCAGGAAGGGGATGGGTGGCCACCCTTCCTAGCGGGGTGGCCCTGCTCTATGATGGGAGGCCCAGGCCGAGGCCAGAGACAGTGCGTGGTGGGGAAGCTCTAGTCTCGCAGTCTGCCCAGCCCATCTTGCCTCCTTGGTGCCTCTGGAGGCCTGTGTGCCGCCTCTAAAGGGGGCTGGTGGGTACCAAGAGCCAATGGAGTGAGCTCCTGGCTGGTAAGGGCTGAAACCCACCCAGTGCTTTTGGGAAGGTTTTAACACTGCTACATGGGCTATGGTTCCTGGGGTGCCCTCCACTACCCTCTGCTCAGTAACAGAGCCTTCGCTAATTAGGTTGTCACTTGACAGAAGTGCTTGGGATTTAAGTTACCATCCTGCTTTGCCCAACCTCAGTTACTTGTAATACTGATAATGAAATAAATCGTGTTAATCCTAGTTGTGTGCAGTCTCTCTCACCCTTCTGTGCCCAGCTTCTCTTCCTGGGGTGTCTTTGTTCCAAGCTTGGGGCCATCGGTCCTGTCTCCCCACTGCTGGCTGGCCACAGCTGTGACGAGGCTGGGCAGCCGAACAGTGTTGGCTTTCATGAAGAGACAGAAAGGAGAGAGGCTGGTCTTACACACACACACAAAGTGGGGGTTGGCTGGGTATGAGGGATGCAGAGCATAGAGCTTCGGCCCGGTCCAATCAGAAAGACTTAGGAAAAATAAAACAAAACAAAAACCCAAACAAACAAACAAAAAACACGAAAGACTTCTCAGAGAAGCAAGACCCAAACTCCTAGTATGGATTTCCCCAGGTCAGTGGTGCTTCAAACACAAGGGAGGGCCTGACCGCCAATCTCTTCCAGCCAACACCGGCCTGGACAGCTACACAGGGGACTTCCTAGGCCTACATCAGTCATCTCCTCATCGTGGCCTTGGCACCAAAGGGGAGGACTGGGAAAGAAGAAGGCAGGGGCTCCGAAAAGAGAAATCATGTTATCTGTTTGATCCAAGGTCTGCTCCACCATCTCTACCACCAAAGCACCAAAAACCCGTCTCAGACGAAGTCCCTAGTGTCTGCCTGGAAATCCCAGCCAGATTCCTCACCACAAACACTAAGCCTGACCCGACCAGCATGACAGGCACCACAGCTCCCTTCTCCAGCTTGCTGCCCATCAGAAAGGAAGCCAGTGGAGAAGTGAGGGCATTTGCTAAGAATGAAGTTTCCAACTGTGGGTGAATGTCAGCAACTAGACCCCTGGGTCCAGGAGGCAGGGTTTTACCTCGTCTGCATCTCCCTCAAACCTGCAGGAGGAACTGTGAGAGTCTATGAAAACCTGTCTAGGTTAGCAGGCCCGACACATCCGCCCATGCCCCATGTGAGCTTTGGCACACACAGCTTCTAGGACTTCCGGTGGCCTCCACCATACAATAAGCATGTTTTCTGAGCTCGGCAAGGCCAGCACCTGCGCAGCACTTCCATGCTGAACAGGTTTGGGTGAGGCAGCCAGCTCCCCGCCTGCCACCAGGCTCTGGATGCCCACAACCCTGTGGGGCAGCTTGCGAGCCTGAAGACCACGTCAGCCTTAGGTCCGTGCTGGAGGCTCAGCTCGCCCACTGACAAAGCAGCTGGCAGAGCAAAGTGCCAGAAAGGATCAAAACATTTTATTCTCTCTCTTTTTTAATAAAGTTAAACAGTAAAACAAAAATTCACAAGCTGCCTCCCTGTCCACCCCCCGCCTCCCTCCCCTCCCCGCAGTCTTCGGCGCTGGCTCCCTTTCCTCCATCCCACTCACAGACACAGGGCATCCAACTGAGAAAACGAAACTGCTGTAGGTACATGGAGACATGATGAAGGGAGGAGGTGAACTGTGTCCACATTCAAGGTTAAACTGAGCAAGTCGGCATGTTCTGGGTTCTGGATGGTTTCCTTTCATTAGCCAAATTGAAAAAAGAAATTCCCAGGACCAGATGCTGTAAGGAAAGAAGGGCTCGTTAGTTGACTCTGGATTTTCTAGGAAATATCACTTTGCTCTGATGATGGAGAAGTCTCCAAGGGCTGCTCCAAAGTCAGAGAAAAAGCTCTGATAGTATCAAACAGCCTGGGCCCTGGGGGGTAAGGGAGCACACGAGCATGTTGTAAGTGTGTGTGTGTAGCTTCTAGCACCTCCGCTCTTCCAGAAAAGCCCATGTTCTAGGTAGCTTAGCAAGGCTTCCCAGAACCTGTGGAGGTGTAGCAACAGGCAAGGTGTGCCCAGAAAGCTCCCTTCTGCTATCCTCAGCCACCCACAGGGGACAGAGGCCCCATTAAATGAGAATTCAGCTGCCTCAACTCATGAGCTACCCCCCTATCCCCCCATTAAAGAACTGCCTAACTGGGGACTCCCAAGAACAGCAGACAAACCCACCTTCAAAGCTGAAGCCCCCAGGCCCTCCAAAGAATGCCTTGAAGATATTGTTTGCATCGAAATCTGTGGGCAAGGTGAGAAACAGGGAAGAAACAAAAAGGTGAAAAAAAAAGAGAAGTGTTTGAGGGGAATTTATGATGACACTGAGAATGGGTCTCCAAAGCTTTCTCAGTTCCCTCACTTCCCTCAGTTCCCCAAACTTCAGACTAGAGGTGAGGAAATCTGCCCCACCCTATGCAAACCTTACCCCCTGACCCCACTCGGGGCATGTTCCCTTCTGCAGCCCCAAAAGAGAGCGTTCTTTGCCTCAACCTCTCTTCTCCACAACTGGGAATGCCAAAGACTTTCCCCACACTATCTTCCTATAATGCTTGGAGCTGCTATTGAAAAGGCTAAAATTTATCACATACTACAAGAATAAATATACGACCTATAATTTATCGTATCTGTTTGATTCTATGCTGTATAAATTGTATTCCAGGAAACTTGTGGCTTATTAAAACACTAATTAGGTGCCAATCATGGTGCTGGGTACTTTGCATATATATCATTTAATCCTAATAACAGGCTGCCAGGATTAAGTACCATTACCAATTTATATTCAATGAAACATAGGTAGGTAATTTGCCCCAGATCATGTGGTTAGTAAAAGCAAAATAACGGATAATTCCAATTTCTGTCTGACTCCAGCACTGTGCCCTTGTCATGAGGCCTTAGCGGGTCTGATGTCCCAAACCACTGCCTGACCTAAGTTGCACAGAAAGATTTATCTCCACCACTGAATCCCACCGGCACATGTGTTCAAAAGTGAATTCTGTCGGGACCGGTTTGGCTCAGTGGATAGAGCGTCGGCCTGCGGACTGAAAGGTCCCAGGTTCGATTCCGGTCAAGGGCATGTACCTTGGTTGTGGGCACATCCTCAGTGAGGGGTGTGCAAGAGGCAGCTGGTCGGTGTTTCTCTCTCATTGACATTTCTAACTCTCTGTCCCTCTCAATTCCTCTATGTGTAAAATCAATAAAATATATTGAAGAAAAAAAAAAAAAAGTGAATTCTTTGTCAGCACATCTGTTCATCTTCCTGGGTCCCCTCAGCTCCGTGAATGGCCCCACCTAGTCTGCCATGGCAGAGCCACTCAGCTTCATTCTTTCCCCCTCTCAACACATTCAGCAACAACTGCTGAGCCCACCATCTCCCAACTGTGCCTACCAGTCCTTCCCATCCACTGTCTTCCCTCCCTTGCTATTCTCCTCCTCCAAACCACCTCTTTGCTGCCATCACAAATGTATTTCCAGAGCCTAAATCTGGTCCATGATTCCCCTACTTAAAACTCTTTTTAACCAGCTCTTGATGGATTATAGCTCCATTACCGGTAAACCTAGGTTTCTCTCTCTCACTGAACTGGAGAGATCAGGGTTATCTACAGATCAGTATCAATCTTGTTTTAAATTACAACAATTTTTCTTAGTGAAGGAAAAGAGGTTGGCATTAGAGACAGAGCTCTGAGAAGTGGGCATAGTTCAAGGCCTCTCTTATCTCTGAGCTCAAAGTGAGCAATGCTGTTGACAGCTGTGCTTTACTTCATTCTAAAGTCTTTTAGGGGAAATTAAAATCTGTGAGTGCTTACAGGAATGTATGATGCAAATAAGTATCAAATACACTTTGCAGTAGGGGACAAAAGAAGTTCCAGCTTTAGGAAAAGCCCACAATCCTTACTCCAGCCCTTAAGGTCTTCTGAGGTCTCCCCACAGTGCCCGCCTTGAGCAACCTCTATCCCACAGAGCCCCTTGGAACTCCCGAGGGTGGTTTACTTTTCTGACTTTCATGCCTTCCCTCCCTGCTAAGCTTACTCCCAAGTGCCCCCGGGCACCTGCTACACTTAATTGCACTCATTCAATTCCATGTCTATTAGATCAGGGGTCAGATTAGGTCTGCAGTTTGCAAACCTCTAGCCTGGGTTCCCGGAGGCCAGGGAACCTGATTTTATTTCTAGTACCCCAGACGGTGCCTCACATGCCACAGGTCTAGATCAAGGGTATGCTTTACGAATCACTGCGCACTGGCTGATTCTACAAACTCTCCCTCTGGAGTGTCTTCAAACAAATGCTAGCAGATGCCTCCCAGGTTGCCCAAACCACTCACCACCCATATTCATGCCCTCCTCATCCAGGTCCTGTCCACTGTCATAGCGAGTCTTTTTCTTGGGATCAGAGAGGATGGTAAAAGCTTCTCCAACTTCCTTGAACTTTTTCTCCTCCTCCTTCTGAACTTCAGCACTGGCTCCACTGTGCCGATCTAAGGGGGGAGTACAGGGAACTTGTCTCAAAGTCTCAAAGAAGTTTAAGAGAAAGACCAGTTGATGTCTGACTTAAGAATTCGGTACTTCCCAAAATTTGGAGGGTACTGAACTTAGTACACCTTCTTCCCAGTGAAGAGCCTCTCTGAGGCTTTCACTCTGGACTGAGTGTGGCAGTGGGCCAGCCTGGCTTGCTCTTCTCACAGAGTCCACTCCCCACCGCTCTACCTGGATGGTGCATCAAGGCCCGTTTCCGATAAGCTTTCTTGATCTCATCCTCAGAGGCATTCTTGTCCACTCCCAGAATCTTGTAGTAATCTTTCCTCTTACTCTTCTTTAGTTCCATCTGTGCATTTTTAAGGAGTTGTTTGTGTTCTAAAGGGAGACATCTAGCATCAAGGACAAATCTGATCTGGCTTCCCTTACCATGTCCCAGCCCAGATGTCTTTGAGTCAGTAGCCTTGTTAACTACACCAGGGGCTTTTATGGTGTGTTTCCCGCCTAGAGATCAAAAAAATCTACTCATACTTAAGAGTTTCTTACATCAGTCTCATCACATAGAAAAGGTTGTGAAATTAACAGGCAAGATTTGGGACCAGAAAAATAGATGCCTTGTTCTGCACTCAGGATTTCTGTTCACTTCTTCCTGGCTGGTGATCGAATAAGCTCCAGCTAATCCCTGAATCAAATTACCCGTGTCCAGTTTTTAGGGCCTACAAGTAAGGCCACACCGTTTCCTGAGAAGCATGCTCCCAAATACCTTTACCTTTTGTTTTCTCCGTCTGATACACTTTTTCATAGTCCCGCACTGCTTCTTCATACTGTTCTGTGTCCATGTAACTGAGAAGGAAATACAGGGCAGTAGAGTGACATAAATGGCAATGGCCTTCAGTATCACTCTAGAGGAAGAGGCATGGCTCAAGCATGAGACATAGACTTTTGGTTGAGATGCTTCATGAAACAGGAGTCCTAAACCTAGCAAGAAAAAATTAACTACCAGGCTTCCTTGAGAAAAACAGAGAAGTCTCATGCCACTTGCACCCAACCCGCAAAGTGAGTCTGCTCTGAGCAGAAAGCAACCAAGAGAACTTCCTTTTGATTTCATAGAGCCACCACGAGGCATCTGGCCTGCCTTAGGAAAGGCAATGTGAAAGCAGCCATTTGATTACTTGAGATTAAAACACATAAGACAATTTATCAAATGAGATAAATGGATATGGAAGAGCTCTGAAACCCAGTGTGCCATAACCATGCAGGGCCAGCTTCAATCCAGAGTGGAAGCGGGATTAGTGAGCCACTAGAAGGATCAAGGTCAAGGTGGTGGCCACTGGCAAATGCTTCCATTAAGACCGATCAACCTGAGAGATGTAGGTGAGACAGCAAAGGACACTCTAAGCTCAGGCTTGCTCCATGTGGATAGTGCAGAAGAAAGGAGAGGCCCTGGCCCAAGATGGGAGGAATCTAGCTTTCAATAGGCTGACTGCCAGATCTTTTTAAGTGTTTCTTCACAGAAGCAAAGGGGGCATTCTTTCTGGCACCAAGGCTGGGTACCAATTATACAGACTGCAGTAGGAGTCGTAGAGACAGACACATCAGTTGAGGAATGGGAAGTGACTATTTGCAGCTGGCTGCTGCACAACAGAGATTCAATTTGCTCCAGTGCTCCCACACAGGCCCATCTTCCCAAACATCAAGGAGCCCACAGGGCTTGCAGGCCAGGCAGAGGGAGTGCTGCTTATGTGGCTGGCCAGAGAGAAGCCCAACTGCTGAGGCATCTCTGACTTTCTGTCAACATCTTGATTTATGCCTTTAAAAAGTGGTAAACCATGACCTACAAAAACAAATGCTATTAGGAGTTCAGAGAACCCATTTACAGGATGAAGTATAATATAAACTGAAGTGAAAAAAAAATTGGTAACTGATAGCCTTGGGTGTAGAATGATCTGACAAGCAACCTTGATGAACTTTCCAGATCCATATGTGACATGCTCAACAAGCTGGTTTTACAGTGATTTGCATTTCACCTCACACTTAATAAAAAAAAATTCTAGGACATTCTTACATTTAAATTTTTTTTAAAGTTGAAGTAGAAAAGTAAGCAAAGCCTTAGGAAAAATGGGAAGTGCCAGCTCATGATGGGAGATATAGCAAAGATCTGATATCTCCCCAACTTTAGGGACAAACTGAGGCAGACTGGGACAATAATCAGGCCCCTTGATCTGAGCTAATCTCCAATTCTTCTTGTGGGGACTGGGGCCAAATTCTCAGCCATCTGCTGCCCCCTCTGGTGAGATCTCAAAAACAGAGCCACTCAAGAGGACAGTTTCATTTCTACCACAAAGATGATATGTCTCTTTTCTATTTTATTTATTGTACCCATATGAAACAAATAAACGCCATTCCTCCTCCTAACAAATCAAGACTATTCTCTCGCTATTACAGTATCATGTATCTAGACATAAAGATGATTCTCCATTTTATTTATTTATTTTTTATTTTTTTAAAAATATATTTTATTGATTTTGTACAGAGAGGAAGTGAGAGAGATAGAGAGTTAGAAACATCGATGAGAGAGAGAGTCATCGATCAGCTGCCTCTTGCACACCCCCCACTGGGGATATGCCCGCAACCAAGGTACATGCCCCTGACCGGAATCGAACCCGGGACCTTTCAGTCCCCAAGCCGACGCTCTATCCATTGAGCCAAACCGGTTTTGGCTGATTTTCCATTTTAGCTATTAGTTAAAACTGTAGTAAACAAGTATACAGCATTTTGCATCTGTTAAAGTAAGTCTTTAGCTAGGTCAAAGGGTACTCTTATCTTTCTTTTTCTTTTTAAAAAAATATATTTTATTGATTTTTTACAGAGAGGAAAGAAAAGGGATAGAGAGTTAGAAACATCGATGAGAGAGAAACATCGATCAGCTGCCTCCTGCACTGGGGATGTGCCTACAACCAAGGTACATGCCCTTGGCAGGAATCGAACCCGGGACCCTTGAGTCCTCAGACCGACACTCCATCCACTGAGCCAAACCGCTTTTATTCAGCCTCTTTTATCTTTTGAAGGTTCCATATTTGTCAGTGGTTTGTAAAAATGAGATAACTGACATCTTTACAGTTGGTCTCACACAATCTATAACTTTGCATTTGTTTCTGTTTCATGGACTTAGCCCTCTACTTCAAAATTCACAAAACAAACAACATCCTCACCCTTCCCCACACAGTAGCAGTTTTCCTAGTTTTAAAAATGTGGATAATTTTGGGAAAACTAAATGGGAGGTAGGCCACCTTCTGTACCACTGATGAGACTTGGGACTTAAAGAATGATAGGCTCACCAGGCATCAGTGCAGCACCTACTCTTTAGAAATGACATTTCATAACGAGGACCGAAGGGGCAATAGAAGGTAGAATACAACAACTAGGTCTTCCATTAGAAATGTAAAAAATGGGAGGTTCTTTGTCTGGGAAAGAATCTGAAAAAAGAGAGATTTGCCTTGGCTGAGTGGCTCCGCTGGTGGAGGCATCACTTTGTACACCAAAGGTTGTGGAATCCATTTCCCATCAGCACACATAACTAGGTTGCGGGCTCGATCCCCAGTTGGAGCATGTACAGGATGTAACTGATGGATGTCACATCTCTCCCCCCTCTCTAAACAGATCATCAGGTGAGGATTTAAAAAAAAAAAAAAAAAAAAAAAAAGATTAATTTTTGAAAGGGGTCTCTCCTAGCTCTTGCTAATTAATATTCCTGTATGAAGAAGACTCTGGTGGGTCCACGAGTTATGAACAAGTATGCTCTGGGCACTAGAGGCAGGCATATCCTGGCTCGGAAATCAGCTAGTCAGATGGGTATTTTCAAAGGGGGTTCCTTATACTGCTGGGAGGGTGAGCTAGATTAAATCTCTTCTAACTTTAAGACTGTCTTTCCTAACCCAAACAAATAGGCTAAGCAAGACTCTCAACTGTCTCCAAGATTCTTCTTCTTCCGAACACCATACATTCATTCAACATTTACTGAGTGAGCACTTACTGTGTGCCAAGCACTGTGCCAAGTTAGAGCAAAAGTGTACAACACAAAACAAAATCTCCAAAGAAAATGGATTTAAAACTTTAACAAAAGGTATTTGGGTCAGGCATCAGAGGAAACTTACTGACCGTGAGGGGCGTAAGACACAGGCATGGGAGACTGAGGGAGCTTGTGCAATCTCCTCCGCTGGAGGTCTATAAACATAGTTTAGGGCTGGAACAATCCCACCTAGAGGCAGGGGGAAGGACCAAATGACCTCACAACATCCCCGGGTCTGCTTCATCATCCATAATGCAATTCCCCTGGCAGGCCAGCAGCAGCTCCCTCTCCCCCCGCCCCGCCCAGCAGAGGCACTCACCACTGAGCTCTCCTCAAGTAGGCTTTTATGTAAGTGTCATCGAGCTTCACTGCACTTGTGCAGTCTTCTATTGCATCATCTAGTTTCCTAAGCTTCAGGAGAGAGAGAGCAGTCATAGTTCACATGGTGGTGATCAAGGGAGCCCAGAAGCTGAAAGCATGGCTTCAAAATTCTAAGAAAACCAGTCATGCTGGCTCCCAACTGTCACACTTGTTCTTGGTCCCTGAGAAAATCTCTATCTCAGTGGGCTAAGGCCACCAAATTTGAAATTGGTTTCTTCTCTACGTAACAGAAGCCAGGCACACTTATCTGCAAAAATAAAACCACCTCTACTATTCCCAGGTTAGTGGTCAATAGTGGACACAGTAAGGGTGGTTCCTGCCCCCCATTTTTCTAGAGACCAACTAGAGGGATCAGGATTACTGGGGGTTTCAACTATTGGAACTCTGCAAGGAGCCTACTCTTATTTCTACCATGTGTAGGACCACAGGCACACTCTATTTTCCACTGAGCATGGTGACCATCAGTTATGCTGAAGGAAAAAACACAAGCCTGCCTCATACTCATTTCCTCCAAATCACTCATAAAGAGTCACTTGCTTAGGCAAAAAGAAGCAGCAATATTTGCTTCAACAACTGTAGCAGACTCCTGACATTTTCTGGAAGAAAAGGACCTTATATCGTTCCTCAAGTGCCCTTAAGTTCCACAGAAAAGATAAGAACTTTATATAAGTTCTTAGTAAGCTGAGATACCAATCAAACAACTTTTCCTCCTGTCTTCTGGGTTACTCTCAGTGGGGAGATTTCCCAAGACCTCTTCCATGTCTCTTAAAAGTATCTCTATAGGTGCTTACCTTGGAATTAACCGTACCCCGATTACAGTAGAGCTTAGCATTTGTTTTTATATTGTTGGGATCTATCCCCAGGGCTTCTGTGTACAGTTCATATGCTAGCTTGTAATTTCCTTCTTTAAAGGCTTTATTTCCATCTTCTTTCTTTGCTTTCAGTGCTTTGGCATTCTATAGAGAAAAGCAAGGGGAAGGTCAGTTCACCTCCAGAAAGCCTCAGACCCCTGCAAGACACTACCCTATTTTCTATTTCTTGATCCCACTAGTTCAGCATCACACAGCCCCCCATCCCACCCCACCCCACCCCACCCCCTGAGCTATTTGTTCTTCACTGTGCTTCCTACAGAGTGGACAGAAGAAATCTAGATTTATAAAATACCAAGGAGAACTGTGTTTCCCAGGGTTTACCTCTTCTCCCCAGGATAAGCATTACTACCCTTTCTTCACTGAGGGAAGAAAAAGCAAACAAACAAAAAAACAACAACACTTAAATATTAACCTATCTGATCACATGTATCTTTAGGCAAGCTAGAGTAGTTCTGAAATCCTTTTTTTTTTTTTTTTTAATTTAGAGAATTTTCATAAGAATATATCTGAGTCAATCTGATGACATATGCCAGGGAGCAAGATCTCAAATGCTCTCCTGAAATCTTGCTACTAAAAGGACCAAGCATTCCTGTGATTCTAAAACCTTCGATTCCAAAACTCATAAAGGCTCAAAAGGGAAGCTTTCTTTACCACATAGATCTGGTGCCTAGAACTTACTCTGCAAGCAACACAGGCCTTCTCATGGTCAGGAGCCATTCTGAGAGCCTGCACAAAAAACTGAACCGCCTTCTCAATACAATCTTCATAATAAAGGCAAAGACCTCGGACATACAGAGCATCCGCATTGGTGGAATCCATGCGTAAAATGTCACTGCCGTAGAAAGAAAGAGGGCACATTTAGCTGTGGTTTGGATTTCCCTGCCATTACTATTTTATTTGTGGGACTTTTCCTCTTGACCATGTGTCTAACATGGAAGTATCCAAAGGTAGACAGATTCCCAAGGATTTTTCCCAAACACATACATGTCTCACAATCTTTACTAAAACAGGTGTTAGCAAACTACAGCCCACAGGACTAAATCCTGTCTGTCACCAGTGTTTGTATATAAAATTTGATTGACACCAAGCCACATCATTCACTAATCCACTCTCTATGGCTGCTTTGCACTATACAGGCAGAGCTGAACAACTGCAATATAAACCACATAGCTTGCAAAGCTTAAAATATTTATTATATTTAGAGAATTTGAAAACCCCTGGAATAGACAGGACATTTAAAAAATAAAAGCCATGCTCTTCCCATGGCTCAGTTGGTTGAGGGTTGTTCCATGCACCAAGAGGTCAAGGGTTCGATTCCATGTCAAGGAACATGCCCGGGTTGGGGGCTCAATCCTCAGTAGGGGGTGTGCAGGAGGCAGCCAATCAATGTTTCTCTCCCTCTCCCATCCTATCTCTAAAATCAATTCAAACATTAAAGAAATAAATATAAATAAAAACTAAAATTCACACACCTGTTCTTTCACATACAGCTCACTTACTATATTCCTATATTCTTTATAGGTTTTCAAATTTAGTCTAATATTTGTTTTTTTAAGTCCCAGAAAGGTCTGGTCAGCCCCCTGGCTTACCAGGACACATAGTAGCTATTGCTATAGACAGCACCTATCTAGTAGAATCTGACTTTTCAATGCAGAACTGGCCTAAATTCATACCTAGCCACAGACTGTGCTTCTGGATAACGACCCAACATTGCTAAACATTCTGCTTTGAGGATTTTGAAGCGATGGCAAGCAGGAGCAAATTCTAGTGCACGATCCATGCAGAAAACTACCTACAGGAAGGAAGAAAGCAAATAAGGTTCTTCACCATGGACTCCAGAAACGTCTTCATTTTAGTTTTGTCACAGGTAATAGATTCAAAGGAGAGACATATCAGTTTAAGAACATACATAATTCATTTGATTAAACCACTGAAATGAGGAAAGCAGTTGATCCAGATGACAGCAAATATTTAACAGTACTTTGTATATTAACTTATTTGATGCTCACACAATTTTATAAAGTAGGTAATATTATTTTTATTTTACTGATGAAAATACTAAAGCACAGGGATTAAATAACTTATTCAAAGTGACCAATAGAAACAGGATTTGCTCTTAAACACTAAGATTCCAGAGCCTATACCCTCATCACCATGCTAAGCTGCCTCCACAGTGAATCATATCCACAATGACTAGGATCAAAAACTCACATTCTTCTAATGTAGAAACTGTTTCTTGCTACTTTGCATAGTGCATCATGCTTAGCCTCGTTAAGTCAAGAAGTACCAAAAATAGCCAAAACCGGTTTGGCTCAGTGGATAGAGTCAGCCTGCAGACTGAAAGGTCCCAGGTTTGATTCCAGTCAAGGGCATGTACCTTGGTTTCGGGCACGTCCCCAGTAGGGTGTGTGCAGGAGGCAGCTGGTCGATGTTTCTCTCTCATCGATGTTTCTAGCTCTCTATCCCTATCCCTTCCTCTCTGTAAAAAAATCAATAAAATATATATATTTTTAAAAAGAAGTAGTACCAAAAAGAACTTAGTACGGAATCATTGCTCACAGTTCTCTCCTGTGTCAGGAACCTCAAATCTCAGAGTATCCTAGTGACCACTCTTCCACTTTTGAGTAGAGAAATATGCCAATGAAACAATTTATGTAAAATGGTCAGAAATAAACCATATGTTCAACACAGTGCTATACAAACGAAAAGCCAAGTATCTCCCCCCCACAAACACATGCACTCGCATACAGTGGGGATTGGTTCTCTCTTTCAGTTTCATAAAGGTTCTCCATAGATTTCTATTTTTTTAGAAGTTTGTTCTCCGAGCTTTCATTTTTTGGTTTAGCTGCTATTCCTGGGATATCCTTGCTGAATCATATTCTTCTCCAAGAATAACTGACCCAAAGGCGAAGTCTGAAGTTAAGAGCTACTCATTCCCTCTAATAATCTGGCCATAGGGATCAGGAAGAGATGAAGTTTGAAAACTTGGAAGCAGCAATAACTCAAATTCCATGAACAGGAGACAAGTTAGATAATGCAGAACTTCATATAACGGAATATGATGTGGCTCTAAAATAGAAGCAAGTTCTCCATGTATTAATATGGAAGGACTTTGAAGGTCTAGTCAACGGTACAGAACCATGTAGAGCGTATTATCTTTTATACAAAAAAAAAAGAAAAAAAAGAAAAAGAAAATTAAGAATCTATATTTGTATTTGCTTATGTATGGAAGGAACTAGAACAAACAAGAATAGTGGTTACTGAGGTGTGAGATTGAGGCAGATGGAGGACAAGTTGAGGCAACATTTAACACTGAATGTATTTATTCTTTCTAGCTTTTAAACCACAAAAACCACCCACTTGAAAATTAAATTTAAAAATCTGGGGAAGCAGATAAACACCATGAACTGTTGCACTGGGAAGACTTTCTGCAGAACTAAAAGAGCAGCGGTAGATTCCTCTCCTTCAATGGCACAGGTTACTATCCTGGAAGTTCTAAGGACAATATGAAAATTCAGGCATTATGCATGGAAGTCATGGTATTAATTTTTCCTCTTTAAACAGAAAAGAATGGGGGTGGAGAGCAGTCAGTCAAAATTTCAGCAGCCACACCCTGCTGCTTTCACAATGTTCTGTATGGAGATGGTTCTGTCATCATGGGGAGTGTCAGAGGCTCAGTGCTTCACTTCCCACCCCCATCTCCCCATGATTAGGGACAGCTGCAAGCAAAGAAGATCTTTGTTTCTTCTAACTTCATCTGTTCCCCCTGCCAAGATCATAATTCTTCATTTGTGACATCACCATGAGCTACAGTGGCGGGGGGCTGGGATGTCACAAACAGAGGATTCTGTCACAAAATGGGGTTCTGGTTCCAGAGCGGGCAAGGGAGAAATGAAACCCAAAGGCCGCCTTTTGAGACAAAGTTTTTGCCCGTGTAAACCTCAGAAAACATGACAAGATGCAGAACTGCTTTCCAAACACACACACACACACACACACACACACACACACACACACACACACACACACTTTTAAAAATGCACGTATAAATCACACTACAAAAGACACCATGGTTATTAAAACCAACGGATAGAAGAGGGATGCTAAATAATTAATGCTAGGACTCTCCATAAGCTAATCATATATATGTGTTACCAAATAAAAGACCTTCACAGTGTGTGACTTAGGAATAATTATTCAACTGAAACTTGTATGTTCATGCTGAACAATGTCACCCCAATAAATTTAATTAAATAAAAAAAACACCAAAAGAATAATTCTTAACTGTACAATTTTGTCAAACATTTATTGAGTACCTACTGCAGAAAGCACCAAGCAAATTCCGACACATAAAGCGACATCTCCGTTCCTTGGATGGTACTCATAAACATCATTTAAGTGATCCTGAAAATCAAACCTGATCAGTGTTTTTTAACCTTTTTGGGAGTCCTTTATCTCCTCTTTGAAACTCTAGTGAAAGCTACTTCTGAGTACCATCTAAAGAAGGGAGTTAGGAATTATTATACAGAGGAGGCGTAACTACTATAACATCTAGAAAGATACCTACAGCTTTTATACTTTTCCCATATTTCAGATTTGCCAACCCCTTTGGATTTAAATTTCCATGAACTATCACACAGCTCCATAAAGGGCAGTAGTCTGCTTTTGTGGAAAGGCCTAATATCAAAAAGGCAGTGATGTCAGGTTACATATACTATTCAAAATGTAATAGGGGCCTCTCCTAGTTTTGATTTCTAGCTCCATCAAGCTCCCATAAAGCAGGAGTTAAAAATAGCTCTCATTATTAAAATAAAGACAGACGCCGGCTGGCATGGCTCAGTGACTACGCATCAATTTATGAACCTGGAGGTCATAGTTTGATTCCCAGTCACGGCCCAGGCCCAGGTTGTGGGCTCGATCCCCAGTGTGGGATGTGCAGGAGGTGGCCGATCAATTAAACGATTCTCTCTCATCATGATGTTTCTCTCTTTCCGTCTCTGTCCCTTTCTCTCTGAAATCAATAAAAATGCATTTAAAAATAGATTATCCAAACCCAGTATTTAATTCCAACTGGCTTTCCCTCATTTTTTCCTAAAAGCACATTTTTAGACCACTCGGGTAACAAATTCATTTTGCTTTTTATCATCATAAAGCCAAGTATAATTAACAAAAAAGAACCTTAGTAAAATGTAATTTTAAAAGCTAGTGATGATGTGGAACAAAAGGAACTCTCATTCATTCCTGGTGGAAATGAAAAATGGTATAGATACTTTGGAAGACATTTTGGCAGTCTCTTGTAAAACTAAACATATTTTTATATAATCCAGCAATTACACTTAACATCTACCCAAAGGAGTTAAAAAATGTCCATACAAAAATCTGCACAAGGATGTTTATAGAAGCTTTATTCATAACTGCCAAAAACCTGGTTGTACCGAATGTTCTGAATGTACCTCCAGGGAGGGATGCTGACAGAGGGGGAGGCTATGCTGTGTACGGGCAGGGAGCATATGAGAAATCTCTGTACCTACCTTCTTCCTGATTATTCTGTGAACCTACAGCTGTTCTAAAAGAAATGATGTCTTAAAAAAAGAAAGAAAAGGTCAAATTAAATGTATTATTCTAGATCTTCTGTACTATGCTTCTCTCTCTCTCTTCTTACTTACACACACACACACACACACACACACTTTGTGAGACAGAATAGATAAGATTTCCTCATAGTTGCACTTTACCTTCCGAAAATCCCGCTTCTCAAAATCCGTTTCTGCTATTTTCTCATATTCTATGACTGCGTTAGCATTCTTGAACTACACAAGAAAATCAGACAAAGGAAAGTTTTAGTAAAGATGTAGATTCAATCACCACAAAAATCAATAAGGCTGATGACTGTGTTATTTCAAGAAAATCAGAACCATGGACTTTTCACAAATCCAGTTGGTGAAGATACAGCCAAACACCTTAATAGAAAGCCAAGGCCCAAATCTTACCCTCAATTTGAACTTAGAAACTCAAGAATATAAGAATCATACCTTGATATATACAAAATAAAGGCAAGGCATTGTCAGGGACTGAGCAAAAAACTTGCAGACACTAAAATACACCCATGGGTAAACTGAGCATATATGGAGATGGAAATAAAACATGTTTCAGCTGCTACAAATTTAACCAGGATTTGAATGTACTAATTAAAAAAAACAAAAAACGTTTTCTTAATTTTAGAGAGAGAGGAAGGGAGTGAAAGAGAGAAACAGATTGGCTGCTTCCTGCATGCCCTCTACTGTGGATTAAGCCTGAAGCCCAGGTCTGTGCCCTGACCAGGAATTGAACCAGTGACCTCTTGGTTTATGGGTCAACTCTCAACCACCAAGCCACACTGCCTGGGCTAAATTTACTAAATTCTTTAGCCTTGCTCAAATCAGATCCCTGGTGCATCTGTCTATTCCCTTAGCAATCTCAGAAACCCTCCAATTTGCAAAGATTTCTAAAGCTGTAAAATCATATTCAAAATGCCTTTGAGCCAGGCCTGTATGGCTCAAGAAGTCCCTGGTTCCATTCCCAGGTTCAATCCCATCACTGATGTTTCTATCTCTCCCTCTCTCTTCCTCTCTAAATTCAATGAAATTAAAAAATAAACATTCCTTTGACAGAGAAAGCCGAGGCTCAGAGAGACTATGAAACTTGCAGTCACCCAGGTGTGGCTGATGGCAGAAGTGAGACTGGATGTCAGTTCTGACTCTCAGTTACTATTCCTGGCCTCTCTAACACAGACAGGATCAGACCCATACCTCTTGTTGTGCCTGAGCATTTTTGTGATCCAATTCTAGCGCTCTCTGGAAACTGCGACAGGCTGCCATGGCATTCCCTAAAGATAGGTGGCATTTGCCTTCTCGTAGATGTCCCTAGAAGAAACACAAAGAAGGAAAAAGGAGTATGAGTGGCCAAGCAGACAGAAATCACCAGCAGCAACACTCACTCACATAAAACCAACATGGCCCTAACCGATTCGGCTCAGTGGATAGAGCATTGGCTTGTGGACTGAAGGGTCCTAGGTTCAAGGCTGGTCAAGGGCATGTACCTCAGTTTCAGGCACATCCCCAGTAGGGGGTGTACAGGAGGCAGCTGATCGATGTTTCTCTCTCATTGGTATTTCTAACTCTCCCTTCCTCTCTGTAAATAAAATCAATAAAATATATTTTTAGAAAAAACACAAATAAAAAACCAACATGGGATGAAAATGGCTGGAGAAGTGGTTCTCAGCCAGGGCTGACTCTGCATTCCATGGGACATTCGGCAATGCCAGAGACATGTCTGACTGTTACAGCAGGGCAGGGAAGGGGTGCTGCTGATACCTTAAAGGCCAGGGATGCTGCTAAACATCCTACAATGCACAGGACAGAACCCCACAACAAAGCATGATCCTGCCCAAAATATCAATAATGTTAACACTGAAAACCCCTGGGCTAGAAGTCAACTGCAGCAACTCAGTCCTCCCCAGAGCCCGTTACATACCCTGACGAAACTGTCATCCAACCGCACCGACTGCTGTGCATCTCCAAGAGCTTCCCGGAACCTTCCGAGCATCATCAAGGTGGCTGCTCGATTTCCATAATAGCTAGCATTTTTAGGACACATGTCTACAGAAAAAGAAAGAAGTAAAACAAGGTTTAGAATGGGTCATTGCCCAAAAACTCAAGGGCCAACTCCTACAGAACTATATCAAACTATAGTAGGAATGATAACACTCTTTAAACAGCCACCTTCAGATTTTGACTACCCGTGCAAATGGACAGCAGCAGTGGTGCAATTGAAAAATAAAACATGGCATTAAACTTAGCTTTAAAGTGCATTAACGATCTTTTGGAATAGGGGTCAGTATATTTATTTTCTTATTGGATTGTGTTTTATATAATTAGATATGAAAATGAATTTGCATTTGTTTAGCTGGGGGTAAGAAAAATGCTAGCACGGGATTAAAATATGTTGACAAAATGTTCAAAAAGGCAATGACTGAAATGCATTTAGGTGGGCATCTTTTTGCTGTAAAATTTAGAATTTCTGGAGTTGCTTTTAATTTTCCAGAAGAACTACCATCCACTTAAGTTAGAAAAAGCAATTTCTGCCTGGCCAGTGTGGGTAGTGGTTGAGCATCAACCCAAGAACCAAGAGGTCCCTAGTTCAATTCCTGGTTAGGGCACATGCCCAGGTTGTGGGCTGGATCCCCAGTAGAGGGCATGCAGGAGACAGCCAATTGATGTTTCTCTCTCATTGATGTTTCTCTCTCTCCCTTCCCCTCTAAAAACCAATAGAAACATATTATTTTAAAAAAGTAATTCCCCCGTGTGGCCATTAACCTTGAAGATATGCTACTTCTTAGAGAGGAACTATTTATAACAGTATTTAGCAAATTATTTCCAGCATAAGCACTAGGTCCATCTCACCGATGGCTTTTGTATAGTAGTTATAAGCTTCATTGTAATCTTTCTTGGCATAGTATGCATTTCCTTGTTCCTTGAAAGACTCCGCTTCCCTGAAAAGGAGAGAGACAGAGAATCATGTTACTCTCTATACCTAGGCAATCACCTCTTTAATCTCATGGAGCAATCTCTGGTTTGGAGCCCACCTGGCACATTGAGCTGAAAGTTAGTGTGACACTGGAAGGAATTTACAGATTTGTTCGATTGGCTGATGGATCAAAAAGAGGTGCTAATGAAGGAATCCATGGTCTTCAGATGTTATTTTTTGTCACTTAGATATATTTAAACTAAGAAAAACTCTCTCATGTCACCTGCCTTGCCTCACTACTCCCACCCGAAGTCACTGTCCTCATGACAGGCAGATTTAGACACAGAAACTGAATCTTTATATTTTTACTTCCTTTCCACTGTGTCACAACTGCTGCCACTTGAGTGAACTTACAAAAAATGAGCTACAGATAATTTCACTCAGGGCAACTGGTTTCTCAATGTAAAGTGGGTCATATCCTTTGAGTTTTAACGATTTACTTGTCACTGGAAGGACAAGCAGAGCAAAAACAGAAGGCAAAGGGGTTAGAAGCACAGCATATTGGTGTTTAAGACAGAAAACAGAGCGACAGCAAAGACCTGGATGACAGGGACACATGAGATACAGGCTGTAGTGCTATGCTCTAAAAATCCATCCACCAGAGTTCCCTCTGCTCATCACACATATGTGGGTACTTTCTGCCCCGCTCTACTATCCCTGTAGTACCCTGTATAACCACCAACTGGGTAATATCAGAATTTCTGCCTTAACCCCAACATACATTTTTTTTGTTGAAGTTGTGCCATTAGACAAACTTTATAACTTCATTTTCGGGCCATACAAATGTTATCAATTTAAAAATTAGCCTGCCCGCAGGTGGCCCAGTGGTTGAGCATCAGACCTATGAACCAGGAGTTCATGGTTTGATTCTCAGTCAGGGTAGATGCCCAAGTTGTGGGCTCGATCCCTAGTAGAAGGTGTGCAGAAGGCAGCCGGTCAATGATTCTCACTCATCATTGATGTTTTCTATCTCTTTTTCCCTTCCTCTCTGAAATCAAAAAGATGTATTTTTAAAAAATTAGCTTGCTATATAGCCCTAGCCGGTTTTGCTCAGTGGTTAGAGAGCTGGCCTGTGGACTGGCCTCTGGTCAAGGGTACATGTCTGGGTTGCAGGCTCAATCCTCCCACTGGGGGTGTGCAGGAAGCAACCAATCAATGATTCTCTCTCATCACTGATGTTTCTCTCTCTCTCTCTCTCTCTCTCTCTCTCTCTCTCTCTCTCTCTCTCTCTCTCCCTTCCTCTCTGAAATCAATAAAAACATATTAAAAGTCTGAAAAAAAATTAGCCTGCTATATTTGGTCAAACATTTAATCGACTCACCCCTAATGCCATGTGCTGTTGAAAGTCCTCAAGAAGGATCCCCCAACTACAAGACTGTGGGACCAATGGCAATCTTTCTACGTGGTGTGCACCATCCTGTAACTCTAAGTGCACCAAGCACTATATAAAAACCACAAGCAGCCTATCCTTTCAGAGCAGACATGCCAAGAGAGGTGAAGAAAGGGCTTCCCCAACACTGGATTTCAGAAGTTGAGTTAAATTCATGTGAAGAAATGGAGTAGTAAATTCGAAGGAAATATCAGGTCCAAAATTGTACCCAAAAAGATCTAGCCATTTCTTCAGCTGGCTAGTGGCTAATACACAAATTCTTGAGGAAAACCAAAGACATCTAAGCACTTGGATAGACATGAGAGCAGAATGAAGCTTGCCAGTCAAAGGTGAAACAATCTGTAGAGCTATTGCAAGGTGGCCCTGCACGAAACACTAATCCCACGGAGGCTAGTGAGTTCAGCGAGGGCTTCTAGTAAAAATGCAAAGGGTGATTTTGGTGGAAGGTTAGTAATAATCACTGAGGCCAGGTACTTTCCATACATTTCCACTTTTCAAAGTAGGAAATAAGGTTTGGGGGGATGGGGGTGGGGAGTGGGGGAATTGGCCCAAGGTCAGGCTGTCAACTCACACCTGTCAGATTCCACTCTTACCATGCTATGCTTTCTCTCTTAATGTTCACCACCTCTACCTATTGCCTAAGATTAAAAGTTAATCTGTACTTCCAGGAACAAGACATAGGCAATGAACACGAATTTCTTTAAGACAAAAAAACAGCCCAACATATAAAACCCAACTCCAGAACTGCAACCTGCATTTAAATAAGCAAAATGACATTCTAACTATTAGTCAGAGAGAGAGCAGGGCTCCTTTAAGATGCGAGACCTAGTGAACTGGACTTTGCCTCCCCCAAGAAATGCATTTCATTTTAGTAAATGGTGAGTAGATGCCATTCTAGAGCAAACAAAGCGAGTAATGTAGAGTCAGCCCACAGCAGAAAGAACAAGAAGAATTGTGTTGTGACAAGTTACCATGTTTTTAACCTCACATGGCACAGATCAGGCCAGAATTAGCTATTCCCACACAATTGCCTCATGAAAAGGACTTATTTTCATGGAAACATGTTTGATGAACAGCTGCCTAAACAATGGGCACTTGGTGCTGCTTTTAGACTGAACGCTTATTTTCTGCCTCCAGGTCTAATGCCCAAAGTGGAGTACCTCTCCGTTCTGATCCTCCCCACAAAATACAAGACAAGCTTTACCCAATGGGCCTGACCCTGCAAGGCCAGTTAAGGAAAGAGTGGATCTTTGGAACCCAGCATGGCAGCAGCAAGAACTGAACAAGGCTGAACAATTCCAGGGTCAAATCCATTCACATCCTACCCTGGGGGTCTGAGAAGGGGTTGAACTTGTTCAAGGGGCCCTTACAGCAAAAGGACTGAAGGATGAGATGTCAAAGGCACAGGACTGGAAAAGAAGGAGAAGAACTGGTTATCACTGGAATTGAGGGCAATCTGTCACTCCACTCACTGCCAAAGTCGATTCGTTTGACAAGCAAGTGAGACACAACACTTACCTACTAAAACACATCTGTACTGAGAAAGGAAGAATTAGGATTAACTGCATTCACCAGGACAATCTAAAAAAGAGGAAAGGACTCCAAAAGGGACTACATTAAACTACAGATTATCTTTTAAAAAATATATATTTTATTGATTTTTTTTTACAGAGAGGAAGGGAGGATAGAGAGCTAGAAACATCAATGAGAGAGAAACATTGATCAGCCGCCTCCTACCTCCCACAACCAAGGTACATGCCCTTGACCTATATTGAACCTGGGATACACACCCCCTCCCCCCCAGTCCTCAAGCTGAAGCTCCATCCACTGAGCCAAACCGGTTTCGGCCAGATTATCTTTTATGTCTACAAAATAAAAGTCAGACTAAACCTGAAATATAATACCCCAGAAAAATATAGGATTGGCCATAACAGCTGTGCTCTCTCTCTAGTACTTTTTCAGATTTTCAAAGGAGTTCTAATGAAGATCTTTGAAATGGCCTTCTGAAGTGGTTATGATAAAATCATGTCTCTCTCAACATTAGGTGACTGCACATGTTTCCTAACTCCTACAGTCCTATACATGACATTTTTGGATTAAAACAAATTTCTCCTACCCAATCCTTGGGTCAACTCTAAGCAGAATAAGCTTCATCTCTCTGATTTTCCAAGAGATGCTGGGAATGACTTTACCTCCCCTCCACTAAATTAATTCTTTCACTTTAATAGCTGGCAACAAATTCTTATGAAAACAGCTACCGAAAAAAAGGTTTTCAAAAACTGTCCTCTTTGGACATATGATGGGACGGTCTCCCAGAACAGGTTCATTGCTGAAGGGCTGGGGTCCGCCTTCTCTCAGACGGACATAGATAAGGAGAATACATTCCATTCTCGGTATGCTTTGCTACTCTAAAATGTGTCTCTTTTCACAAATAACCTTGTCAGCTGGAAAAGCGCAGCCCTGAAAGTCTGTGCTTCTTTCTACACCACATGTGCATTAAAAATCTGTATGTCCTCCGGTCATGCAGGTACATTCTCTCTCTCCCAAATGAGCACTCATTCATCACAGATGCTAACCAATCCAACAAACACTGCCAAGGGAATCATTTCACACAGGTCTTAGCGGGGCTCAGCATCATATGATCAAAGCAGACAATTTGGGCTTATGATTACCAGCCAACTGCCCATTTGCAGCTCAGCTAAATTAAAAACACATTTAAAGCACCATAGCCTAAGCCGGTTTGGCTCAGTGGATAGAGCGTCAGTCTGCGGACTGGAAGGTCCCAGGTTCGATTCCGGTCAAGGGCATGTACCGTGGTTGTGGGCACATCCCCGGTAAGGGGTGTGTAAGAGGCAGCTGGTCGATGTTTCTCTCTCATCGACGTTTCTAGCTCTCTATCCCTCTTCCTTCCTCTCTGTAAAAAATCAATAAAATATATTAAAAAAAAAAAAAAGCACCATAGTTGACATTGCATTGTGCCCCAAATTAGATGTCCTTAACGAATTTCCATTTCTCTCTAAATACTTCCAAGTTGTGCACTTAGGTAAGATCTTTTAGCAATTAAAGGGGCATTTAGAAAATGTAACCAGCTTTCACTAATGCAGGATTCATTGGGTGATAGTTTTTAAAACATGGCTAGGTTCACTCTGGAATTGCTTCATATACATTTGTAGATTAAAATAGGGATAAAATGCTTCACCTACAGTAACACTTTAAGATGTATTTATTTTACCTCAGTGCACAAAAAATAAAGACCAGCATAGTTTCATGATTCTGCAACATTCTTAACTTGGGAAATGCTGAATAGATTTTTCTATGACAAAAACACTGCTTTTATTTAAAGTAATTGGCTAGAATTATGTCTTTTTAATAAAATTCAGCTTTTTCAATGATGGCATTAATAATTAATTCAAAACAGATACAACAGCTATAATAATATATATTATAAATTATAATATAATACATATTATATATCATAAATTATTAAAAATTATATATTATATATAAAAATTATATATATTATAAACTATGTAATATATATTATAAAAAATAAAATGATATATATATTTTTTCCT